CAATAGTTACACCATTTTTTGAAAGATGGTTTGCCTTTGAAATTTGGGTTTTTCTCGTAGATATTATTAAATATTTGAGTGATTTTTTCAGCTAGGTCAGTGTCAGAGTCATGAAAATTATTCATTTGTGAAATAGAGCTTTGGATGTTATTTACAAACTGTAATTTTAAATTTTCTGTTTCTTCCAATTTCATAGTGATTTCGACTTCTTCTAGTTTATCTACTAGTTTTTTGAAGTCTATATCGGGTTCTCGAATTAAAGATGGATGTGATGCTCTCTTTTTTATTGCCATTTTGCGTAATTGAGGTGTTAGAGTCATCGTTAACATTTCTGTTATTTTTGTATCCTCATAATCATGTGTATCAAGGGAATATGCTTTCCTTACTAGTGTTTCAATTCTTACTGCAAGTTGCTTAATTGTTTCGTTTGGGATTCTACGAGTTTCATTGGATAAATTTTTTGGTGTTGTTTGTTTCTTGTGGAGTCAAACATTTTTGAAAATTCTTGTGTGAATCTTTTCCAGTCTGACTTAAGATCTTTAAGATCTATAGGTGAAAACCTTTTTAGGGCTGCGCCATCAAGTGTGGCTTGGGTTAGAGCTGTGCGTCTATGTATCCAATTTTGATGAGGTGGTGTATTTACTGTTTCAGGTGCTATATTTAAAATCAAATTTGCTGTGACGGCGTTTAAATCATCTTCTACGGAGTATTCGGGTTCTGTTCCTGTGAATGCCATTAACGATTTATTTGAAGAAATTGAGGATCCACCCATAAGGCATGGATTCTTTGTCATTTGTAGTGATTCTGCGGCATTTGGTATTTGAGAAAAATTTGTAAATTGAGTCATTGTTGTTTCATGTTGTTGTAGATAATAGGGTAGTGAAATTTCATTTTGCATTTGAGTTGGTTGGTAGTTTTGTGTATTCACTGGGTTTTGTGATTGAAAGTTATTATATAAGGTTGGTTGATGTCTTGTTTGCCTTTGTTCATTTCGTGTATATGGTTTAAAAAGATCTGGTCGATAGAAAGGATCTGGTTGATTGATGTTTTTGTGATGATGATTTGTGTTAAATCTTTGGTTTTGTTAAAAAATTTCCTCATCTTCTAAGTAATGTGGTTGATTTCTAATATGATGTTGGTTTGCTATGTTTTTATTTTGTTGGAAAAAAGGATACTTTTCGCTATGATCTATTGTAGCTCGTGGCTGATCGTTAAAGAATACTGGCTGAGAAGCTTGTTGTGGTACATTATGGTTTTGTGATTGATTTTGACTATTTGTTTTGGGGGTTTTGGTGTTTTGGATTTTTGGAAAAACCTATAGTTATGATTGAGAAGTTATTTCTAATCGATGTCTTCTGCTTATTTGTTTGTCTTGACGTTGTTAATAGTCTAAATGTTTGATAGTCCATTTGTCAACATTTTGGAATAACTGAAGGTTTTACTGTCGATTGTATAGTTGTTTGTGGAAATACTGTCTTTATTTTTTTTGGAGTTGTAAGTATTGGGTGAATCGGAGAAATGCTTTGTTGTGTTGTTGTTGGCATTGTTTCAACTATTTCTTCATTTATGAAAAGTGATGGAGTTTGAATATCTTGCTGTGTAAGATTTCTTGTTCCATTAAGATTTTCTTGGTTAATAAATGTAGAATTTAAACTATTATTTCCTTTTCTATCTGTGAATATTGAATTATAGTTTATAGGTGTTGCATCAAAAGTAAGTGGAGTTATTCTAACATAAACTCTATTAATGGAAATTGTGGTGATTGCTTGACGTGAGATGTCAGCTGTTATATTAATAAAGGATGGATGAGACCATTCAGGGTCCCAAACATAGTATGTTTCGTCTGCCAATATTGCTTCATCGTCTGAATTTTGTGGTTGAAAATTGTTTCTTCCTAATGATATCAGGTCAATGTTATGAACAAAAAATCAATTATAAACTATGCTAGTATGTCTTATAGATCGTGTTTAACAATTTGTGATATATCGTTTTTTTGTGAAATTTTCACGGATTGTGTTTAAAAATTTTGAGAAATATTTTATTTCTTGTCTTACAGCTGTTTGCCGGAATGTTTAAGTTGGCGAGTCAGTTCGTGTTTCTCTCAGTTCTAATATGGATAGATAGCTATAACAAAAAATTAGATTACATCGTCTTTGAATATGGAATTTGCTCTTTGTGAATTTTGGTGTTGTATAATTTTTATTGAGTCTGTAAAAACTTTTGAGAATTCTTTATCTATATCGTCTGTTTGTATTTGGTGTTTATTTTGTGATTTTGCTTAGGTGATGCGCTTTCGATTGTGAATATACCATGTGAGGTGATATTATATATATCTTTTAGGTAATGATCAAATATTTGTCGTTTTAATTGTACTTCAGGGAATTCTTGTTTAGATGGGCTAATTCCTCTTTCAAATAAACTTACACTTAAGTTATGAAAAAGTTGTACTTGTCCTCGGGAGGGATCATTTAGTGGTTTTATAGAAAATGGGAGTATTGAGTTGTTGTCGAAACTTTCGTCGTATTCGATCATGTTTTATATTGTAAGACTTAGTGTGTAACATTCAATATGTCTTATTGATTAATTCCAATTATATAGGCGTATTGGTTTGATGACTTATGACTTTTGTTTGCGTTTTCATTTTATTGATGATAGTGTTGTGGCTTCTGAGTCGGAAAAATATATTTGGTCGTCGATCGGGTTATTTTTGTTCATGGAATCTTATAATTCGTGAAATTCCTGTATTGTGTTTGTGTCTGATTCTGAGACTGCGTTTCTTTGTTTTAAAAATCGTTTTCTGATAATTTGTTTTTGTTTTGTTATGATTGTCTTTTTTCGTGTTTGTCGTTTTGATCTTATATATCCTATTGTTTGTCTGTGTGGTGTAATTACAAGGTCGTTTTTAAATTAAATCTTTCGTTTTTAAATTAAAAAAACTAGGAATACGATTGTTTGTTTGTTACCTAGATTATCTCTTGACATAAGGTTTAGGATGATGGATGCAATAATTGGATTAGAGATTTCCAATTTCCTAAACTGTTAGTCCTTACGCGTTTTGAGTGGTTATCTTATCTTGAGGCATAGGTTGTCGTGGTTTGACGGGTTGGAGAGAGAGTAGACTATCGATTCGTGAGAATGAGTTTTTACTTTCTCGTGACTAAGTTCTAATTTAAGATAGACTTATTTAATCTTACTTAGGGGTTGTGATTTGTGATCAAGGGTTGGAGAATAGTAAATCAATCCATAAGGTTCAGGTATAATTAGAACGCGAGTAGATCGTTAGATACTATTTTATGACTTACTAAGTTTAAGTGTTTTAGCCTGGGTCATCTAGGAGGAAGGGAATTAAGTGAAGAATGAGTAACCGAAGTTCTTCACTGTTTATCTTAATTAAAACGATTAGTTTTTTTCAAAAATTTCTATTAGTCCTGGGTTTTTGATAAGTGTTGGGTATTGAATCGACGTTTGAGGTCGTTAGACACTTTAAAAAAGTGGGGGGGGGGGCGAACAAAATTGTTCCGTTTGATCCAAGGAAAGCCTGGATGATTGTTATACAAGTTGAGATAATTCAAGAGAAAACAAGGATAAGCCTTGATAAAATTTAATGTGAAGGTTTTAAGTGTGATGTGTTTAAAATTAAGGTTTAGGATGATGTTAGATGTGTAACTTGCTGTTATTTTTTAGGTGATGAAGCTGGGATGAAGAATTGATACGACAGATTATTAAAATTAACGTTGATTTTTGTTTTAACTAATTTTTGTATTTTTATTCAATAAATTTTTTTATTAAAAATGTTTTATTTTATTACAGGTTTTCAAGAGGGAACGACTTGTGTTGCTTTTATCAGTCGTTATTGTATAAATAGTAGGTTTAGCACCATTAAGTGTACTGAAGGATTTCTTCAAATTTTAAGTCAGTAAATGAAAATCCAAATTTACTGCGGAAATGATTCTAAATACATAGGTTTGTTCCGGTTTCGGTTGTACTATCATGAAATGAATCGGTAGATTTCTTCCTAAACGTAGATCGTGCTTTGTATAAATGTAAATGTTAGTCATGGAATATGTTTGGTTAGTTAAGAATATTTTATAGAATTAGAGAATTATATTTATAACCAATTATAAATTCTAGTTTAGAAATGGTTCCAATTATAAAGCTGATTATTTTTCTCATAATTATAAGATAGACACGATAAGAAAAATTTTCGGTTAACAATCTAGATTTGACAAAACCTAAATGTACTCAAACATGTTGAAAGAATCAAGCTTTTAATTTTTGTACTAAGTTTGCTTTATGATTCCGGAGAAAAACGTCAAGGCATAATGGCAAAAAAACTCTTTTTCGAAAGCTGAATCAAATTGAATCAATTTAAATTCAAATTGCTCAAATCTAAAACACACTCAGCCCAACTAATTAAACTTTTTACCTATATTATGCGCTTTCAGACCAAAAAATAATCAGAAAACATGCATCCGAAAAAAAACCAAAAATTTAAACTTGATTTTGTTTCGAATTTTTTTCGTTCAACAGAAAAACTTAGCGCGTATAGAAATCAATTTTTCCAGGTTTTATTTTCTTCGAAAGGTAAAACCAAGAGTTTAAAAAAACTATAAAGAAGATACTGAAATAAAATAACTAGGCAAATAAGCTGACAAAATTGGGACGAAATCGAAAAAGCAGGCTTTTCTATAAAAGAAACTTTCAGCGGTAGGCCCAGTATGAGAAAAAAACTTGGGAAAAACCTAAATCATGACACAGGGGGTCAAACCATACAAACTTTTATCTGATATTGCGCTATTCTGCTACGCTACAACTTCCTTGTTTTTTTAATCGATTTTAAGTCACGTTTTTCATTCTGAAAAAAAAGTAATTTAGCACCTAATTAAAGTAATTATTACGTGATAATGGGCACGCACACATTCTTATTGCTACGCCTCCGAGAAAAAACCTTGCGGAGTTAACTGAAGTTGGGACATTTCGAAACCTCAAGCTACAAAAACTGTTTACAAAATTATAATTTTCGGAACTATTTACATTGTACAATGATCAGTTTTACGCCTTATTATTTACAAAGTTTATCATTCGCCTCTTTTCTGAAATCTTTATTACAGTAAGTTGAGTCCCTTCGTGGGTTTGTTGGACGGAGCCGCGGCTGCTAACTGAGTGTATGTAGTTTGGGTCCTTCGCGGAACTACATTCCTCCCTTTTAAGGGACTGCTGACTGCAGTCGTGTCCAGTCGTAAGTTTTCCCGGATGAAGTTGCGGTAGCGACTGTTTCCCATCGGGTCACCCTGCTCCCCCTGGTAGATTGTCGTGGCGTGCGGAAGGGGGAGGGGCTGGGGTATCGAGGAGTGGGTGGTTTGGGGCTGAGGGGGGTTGTACTCCGGGATGGTTCCAATGACTTCGAACGACCAGTGCTTCAGTTTAGTCTGAAACAGTTAAAGTGCACAGTTAGTTTTCTAAGCCAATGAGGCAAAGAACTATTCAAGTAAAAAATACGAAAAGAAAAGTACGGGCTTTTTCACTGGAAGAAAAAATATCGAAAAAATTTTTTAAAAAAAATCATTTCATACAGACAAACTGCCGTTCAACTAAGTGGCCCTTTAACTGCCGGCAAATCATAAATGCAGCTGAATATCTGCGTAAACTAGAAAATTTTTTGTAAGAATATAATTCATGTTCAACAAACTCAGAGGGAATCACCGACGGGAAAAGAACAGAACAGGATCTAAGATCTTCTTCAAATAAAAAAAACAACTTATGAGCTTCCAAAAAACTTTCGTAAACTTTTTTTCAACATTTAGTTTTGTGTTATTGGGTATAATTCGGGGGTTAAAATACCCAAGCAATTCCCACCTGTATGACCAGTGTAGCCTTGTATGTCTTTCCATAGGTGCTTGGCCGGAAACTGACTGTGACCTCAGTTGACCCCGCCTGCAGCCCACTGCTGTGTTCTCCGGCTGAGTTGGGGTCGCTAGCGTTCATCTGACCGAATGTAGGGTGCACTTTGAAGGCACTGACATCCGAATTGTTCGTGGCGAAGAAGGCCTTGAAGCTCTCGGGTCGACTTGGAAAACAAGTAATTCTAATCAACTCGTCTAATTATATTATCAGAGTCTGCAACCTCATACCCCCATAAAAGTCCAAATCTTTGAAAATTCCAATTCTCTGATATTCCAATTCTCTGAAAATTCCAATTCTCTGAAACTTCGTTTACAGCGCATCAATAGTTGACAAAATAGAGTTTTTGGTAAGCTATGGCTATATGTCACCGCCTTTCAATCAAAAGGTCAGCAGTTCGAGGCTCAAGGTGATCTGCGATAGTTTCTTATGGGCCAGGCATCGTAGTCCAAACAAGAAAAAACACTAAACTAATAGCATGTAATTTTAAAACCACCGAAACAACAGATGTTCTTTCTCTCGTGGATAGGTCGTAATAACATCAAAACTCATTGGTTCTATTTCTGAAAAGCTAACAAAACTTCACGAAAAGACTAAATGTGTTCTTTAGTTACCTGGAGTGGCTGTTGTGGATGTGTATGGTCTTCTGGGCGACCTTGTTCAACCCCAGTGCCCTGATGACGATAGTGTCATCGGAGGGGGGCTCCGTGGCCCTCAGGTGGAGGGGGAACTTCCACACTCCCCCGGTGGCAGAGGAGACTTCCAGGAACACTATGTCTCTGAAACACGCAACACAATGCAAAAACATCATGAACATCATTTTTGTTCCCACAAAAAAAAATTGGAAATAAATATTTTTTATTTGTTTAAGAAATAGTTTTTTTTGCAGCCAATATATTTTGACTAAGTCCAAATTTTACATAATACATGTATTAAACCGTTTTGCGGTGGTTGTTATAGTTTGTTTTTAGTACAGGTGTTTAACAATTTCTCAATACTAATTGATTTTTTTAAAATCATATTTAGATGCTGGTCATATACAAAACAGTCTTTTAAAAATCAGTCCAGTACTTCAAAAAAAAATCTAGAAAAAAACAGTCTCATACAAAACAGTCCAAAGCCATTTGAATTTTTTGTTTCGGCGCGAATAGAAATGATACACGCTATGAACTATCAAACATGAGCGTACCTGAAGATGATAGAACCAAAAATCGAACAATAAATCAGATCAAAATCAACAGCCATAGTGGTTAAAGCATAAGACTCAAACTCTAGAGATCATAGGATCGAAACACCGGTGGCACAGAAATTTTCCAACTTTCCGAAAAAAGTTGACATTTGGGTAAATACGAAATGGGTATATGTCGGGTACACAAAATGGGCTCAAACTTAGCAACCCAAGTTAAAATCGGGTAAATACGAAACGGGTATATCTCGAGTGCAAAAAATGGGCTCACACTTAGCAACCTGTATATTTTTGACTGGATTCAACAGAGCCAATTTTTAAATTCTGTTAAATTGTATGTTTCGCAGATTATTGCTTTTAATGAATGGACGCTGCTGTTTTCTAGGTAGTTCTGCATTCGCTGCTATACTAGCAATTATCATCCAGATTAAACAGAACCAGAAAAAAAAATTTAAACCGAGCAAATATTTCTTATCAATTCGTGGAACAGTAATCATTTTTTATCAAGGGACTGTTTTTCAGACGACTCTTTTTGGACAACTTTTGGGACTCTTTTGTATGGGACTGTTTTCTGGACTCTGACATGATTTTTTGGACAGTTTTGTACAGGAAGGTTTTGTGTTGGACTGTTTTGTATCGACACGCATTTCAGATCATTTTTTCTGGAGTTACTACTCGGTTCAGTAGCGCATAAAGTTATGCATTATTTTTCGAAAAAAAACTCTTTAGCATCGAATGGAACAATATATACCTGAAAATTGCTTTCTGCCTCACTGTCGGAGCAATTTTATAACATCTTTCTTGAACCAAATTTTTAAAATTTATATTTAAGCCCCTCTGCAGGCAATGAAGTAGTCGAAAAAAGTCAGTATCAAATACCACATTCAAGTTTTTCTGTCATGATTCAAATTTCATTACGCGGAGGCGAATCTGAAATTCACACCATTTGCAAAACAACAAGTATAAGTTAAAATCAGCTTGATGCTCAAAAATATTAGCAAAAAAGATTTCCAAGGATGTTAGAACATTGAAGAAAAGACTAACTGGAGTCGACAAGCATGAGCTCAAATCGTCATAAAAAAACAAAATCGAACTTCTTTATTTGTACATACACTTATTATACTTCTAGATACAGCCTTTACAAGTATTTACCAGCAGAAAAACAGGTTAAACATTTTCACTTTTAGATCTGACGACATTTTGTCCCCGACAAAAAGTGGAGTCACACAGTATATAACCTAGTCAACATACATTTGCAAAAAAAGCCAGAGAGCAAGAAAACCGAACAAAATGACTGATAATTTTGACCCAATCTGAAAAAAGTATCTGACTTCAAAATTCTGAGGAAACTGGATCATTGGGTAATATTTTCAAGCCCGCTGGAAAATCAGAAAATTGAAATCCACCTTCGAAGCTAAAAATTATGCAGTTTTTTTTCGCGAAATTTATAATTTTGATATTGGAAAATAAAAATTGCTTTCTTTAAGCAAATAAAATTCAATTCGACTCAAAAAAAAATTAAAACAAATTTGAGCAAAACAATTTCTAAAAGAAAAAAAATCACAACCACAAGACTTGAAAAATAGCCATCAGGCAGTAGGAAAAGGGTCAATGAACAAAAGGAAAATTTCGAACTTCAAAGTAAAAAATATATATGTTCAACCCTTCTTGAAATTTATGATAAACTTATGACCGACCGTCTTCTGATAAAATTAACTTAATTTGAGAAAACAGGCTTAATAGGGAAAACTTTTATTCCGCTGGAAAATCAAAAAATCTAAAAAAACAAATTTCAATTCGAAACCAGAAGTTGTTTACGCTTTGTTGCGCCATTTCTATGCTTGTGTTTGGAGAGTACAATTTACCTAAATTTCAGCAGATGAATTTAAATTGAACCCAAAAAAGGTATATAAATTAAGTTAATTCATAAATGCATTAGTATGCACAGAAGTTTTTACGTATGAATATATTAGTGTGTATTAATGCATCTATGGATCTGTAGTTAATAAAGCATTTTGAGACTTTTTCTGAAAACGAAACACAAAAAAAATCACCAATACTTATATAAGAGTCTTCACTACATTTATCGACTCTTAATAAGTGTCTTGACTTCGTTCGTTGACACTCAAAAAGTTCATGTAAATAATGAAATTACTTTCATGCGGTAAATAAATCATTAGTAATGGTTTTGGCTTGGTTTTTTTTCTGCTCAACTTGTTGTAAAAATAACCTTTTGAGGCAAAAAACAACCACGCAAATCAACCAACCATTGTTATTGTTCCGAACATTGAAAATGGGGAAAAACTTTATAATCGGCTGTGTTTTTACTTTTTTTCCACGGAAAATCATGTATCACAAAAATCATCGGAATGGGTCGAGTGACATAATATATTAAAGCTCTTTCAGTCAAGATTGATTAACATTTTAAAAAATTGTCCATGAGTCAGGAAAAACTGGTTTGAAATTTTTGATATTTAATCTATTTTCGAGCAAAAAAAGCAAAGCAAGCAGTAGCTTATTTTCTAATTGAAGTCGTGAAAACTTCGTTTTAATTGAATAAATTTAATTGTTGGAGTTTTTTAACGCCATTTTGGAAATCAAAAATTCAAAAAACCATTAGATTTTTAAAATTTGTTAATGATCTTTGTTTGGTTTTCCAGTAGCTTTTCTACAAAAATTGTTGTCCAGTTTGCCTGATTTACTATTAATGTCGAACATGCGAAAGTTTTAGCTGTTGGTTCAGACCTTTCATCACACCACGAACAAAAAACAACTAGTTCGAAAAAAATAGTATTTTTTAAGACTATGGTCGGAACATTCTGTGCTACTTGACAGTAACCGGCTATCCTTGTTTCTAACTGCTTTTCTCTGCACTTACTTTTTCATTTAAAAAACCAAAACTCATCGTGCTGCAAGTCGATTTCTTCATTTGGCGTAGTATTTAAAAGTCGAATAATTTAGTTTTCATTCTCTCCCGTTTGATTTTGTGTAAAAAAACACGAAGAAAAAGACTGAGCGCATTATTCCATTAATGTTGAAAAACTTAATGAAATGTTAAAATATGTTTCCAGAGGCACATCTAGTACTTTCTCGAATAACGCATCTCATCTCAAAAAAGACTCAATGGACAAATACAAAATACAACTCAGCGCCGCTAAAAAATTTAAAATCGAGCAAATTATGACGTTTTTTGACACTTTTTAACTTGCCCTCCACCCCCCTCCTCACATAAAAAATAGGCGATGAGAGTGTTAAACTCCTGAAAGAGTAATGTAGTACCACCACCCTCCCCAGCTTATTTTTTCCCCGGGTTGTGTTGTGTTTCTAAGTTACTGAAAGAAAAGTTGTGTCTAAGTTATTGTATGGGTTTGATAAATTTAACTTAAAGGTTGGTCCACCTTAATGCGACCCTGAAAAAAGGTTTCTAAGTTAACGGAAACAACAGTTGTATCCAACTAACTGTATGGGTTTGTGTGGGGTGAATATGGCGTTGAATATGAGTTTGGCGTGGCCACTCTGTCTGTCCCTGTCTCTCTTCAGCAGACTCACGGCCACCGTCTTCTCCAGCTGCCGTCTGCTCTCGTCACTCCCAAACACCAGCTGGTACGACAACTCACGCGCCACACAGTTGCCTATATGGCACAAATCAACATCCATCAACTCAATACTCCACCCCTATATGACCTTTGCTTGAGAGGATATTAAATCTGGTCTATTTAGTGGAAGACGTTCAATTGATCCCCAAATCAACCCATATATGCACCTGAACATTAAATCAAACTCACTTTCAGAAAGCAGCACTCCTCCCCCTGGACTGGTGATGTGTGGGGTGGCCGGTTGGGATCCAGGGGCGGAATATCTAGCGCGGTCGCTGTTGCCCCCCTCTAGGCCAGATGCTGCAGAAGCAGACTGTTTGTTCCTGGAAGCAGACGACCCCCCTGTGCCGATCACTCCTGTGAGAATCACTTCAACTCTCTCCTCCACTCGGCTGCGCGCCTGAATAAATATGAACAAAAAAGAATTGACCCTTTCTTCCCCCTTCCCCACCAAAAAAAATTAGAAAAAAACCGCATGTTATTCTCAATTTAGGTAACAGCAGCGGTTCCCCATTAAGGGCTGAATAGCTCGTATGGTCGTCCTTCTTCTCGTGGATAAGTCTTCTTAGCTGACCCAGAAGTGAACATCTGTTTCATGACGTAAACAGCAGTTTTACGGGAGGTTATTTTATAGATTTCTACAATGTCATGTTATAGTGAAACTGTCAAAAAATTCATTTTGCACCACAAGAAAATCTGCGGGGATTAGGCCAAAAATTATTTTCTACGAATGTTTTTTTTCGATTATATGAATCTTATGTTTTTGGTAAGAACTTTAAATCTCTCAAATCATGTATTTTTGCCAATTGAGTCAAGTATAAAAGAGTCGCGCTTAGACCATTTTTAGGGATTATCGAAATTAAACCAAAAATAGCGCACTTTAGGTGGTCAGGGGCTCGAAACTCCCATCTATTCCCTAAATCACATTCCTGCTAATTATAGATGCAGAACAGTTTTAGGGTTGATCGTCCAAAACTTGATGTCGTAAATCAGGGTACCAACAGAAAGGATGACGTAGGAGTCAATTTTAAGACTCGTCCTTTTTCTGCAAAATTCCTAGATCAGCCTCTGCTACTACTAATATGCCAACACAAATATACTAACACAAAAAAAAACGATGAATACTATGAATATTACTATGTCAACGATGAATATTGACGTGATTACCTCGCACTCAATGATCAAAGGTGCTTCTTCCTCGTCCATAGTGGATTGGGGCACACCTTTGACTGGGAACACCCATCTGATCTGACTCCTTCCCTCCCCCTCTCCTTCTGTCTGTTCCCGAAGGGGATCCAGTTCCCAACTATCTCCGTCCTCTCTTCGGATCGCCACTGCACATACACACTCACTCGGCTCCATCTGGTCAGGAGCATAGCTGCATTAAACAATAGACAAATTAGATACGTCAAAAACAATTGGGCTCTTTTCCAGTTTTCCACTCCCTCGCAAAATCACAAAATAAAACTTCTTATTCAAAAATTATTGTTAACGCAAGTTATGTGAAAAAATGTTCAAACCAGTTAATTTGTTTCGCAAAAAAGGCACATTTTACATCAAAAAATTATTAATGCTTTTCGAGATTCTACTATCGAGAAGATTGTACTAATCAATGGTTTCAAAACTTGAAAATTAAATTCCGGTCTGAACGAAAAATATTCCTAATTAAAAACATTAACATTCAAACTGGGTGTTTATCAGACACTTATTCACATCGGTCGTGAACTCCATGCAGTGCCCCTTGAGCACCCAAAGGGCCTCTCTTTAGTACTATTTAACTATTTCTATGGGGGGTATTTTTTCAGACAGACATCCAGTAGCGTTTTGAAGGAGGGAAGGACGCCTGTCTCTTCCCTAGAAAATCAGGACGCCTTCAAACCCCTCACCGCCCATAGATTGCTCCCTTCAGAACTATTGTAAGACATCCGTTTTTAGCATATCAATCCTAAAAATCCGTCCAACCGATCCTAAAAAAAGCTCGGAAAAACAGTTTGGTCGACTTCAAAAGCAACAAAAAATCTAGATTGTACAACAATATCCAGAAAAAAAACGAAAAAAGTGCCTAAATGAAAATTCAATTTCCTGAATAACATTTAGAACATGAAGATTTAGCAGAACAAATAAAAAAAGATATATATATTTTTTTGATTTTCCAACTTCAGGAGAACGAAATACATCATGTCAAATTATATTAAATTGAAAAATTTTTTACACAGAGGCGAAGTTGCACTTCACATGCACAAGCTAAAATATGACCGACAACGCTACTGGGGAAAACTGAATGAATAAAACTTTGATTCTACAAAATTGCAACAAAGTCACGCACGCAAAATATGAGTCTACATAATTGCTAAGTGACGCAAGCCAATTATGACGAATTAGCAGTACCAGTCAATTTGAAAAAACATTACTAAGACACAAGACTCAATTTTGAAGCGGGCGCATTTTAATTTGTATATAAAAAACTTCATTAGAAACATCCGACCCTGCCCAGGTTCGAACCCTCTTACTTTGTTGCGGGTCTGCTTCCCTAACTCTACGCTAGAGATTCTTGATAACTTAAAGCTAAAATGTGTTTTTTAATAAAATAGTCTGTGCTAATATCCTTATCATTGGCTGTACTCAATAGCTGGTTATTGATCGAAATGAACACTTTCAAAACGAACGCACTTTGACGCTACAATATTTGTGTCGCAACAAAAACTACGACTTAGGTTGTAAAAAAAAGAGAATTCTTACTATAACACAAGCTTTGCTTGTGTAATTAAAGTAATTAAAATCATTTATAGAACAAATCAAAGCTTCAAAAAACAATAGACAAATTAAATTCGTCAAAACAATTGGGCTCTTTTCCAGTTTCCCACTCCCTTGCAAAATCAGAAAACAAACTTCTTATTCGAAAATTATGGTTAACGCAAGGTATGTGAAAAAAGGTTGTTCAAACCAGTCAATTTGTTTGGCACAACAACCAAATTTTAAATCAAAAAATAATCAATGCTTTTCGAGATTCTACCATCGAGAAGGTTGTACTAATCAATTGTTTCAAACCTTGAAAGATAAATTCCGGTCTGAACAAAAAATGTTTCTAATTGAATACTTTCAAACTGGGTGCTTATCAGAAACTTATTCACATCGGTCGTGAACTCCAGGAGTCTCTCTTTGGTATTATTTTACTATTTCTATGGGGGGTAATTTTCAGACAGACATCCAGTACGGATTTTAAGCAGGGAAGGACGCCTGCCTCTTCCCTAACTGATTCAAACCCCTCGCCGCCCATAGGGTTCTCCCTTCAGAACTATTGTAAGACATCCGTTTTCGGCCAATCAATCCTAAAATTTCGTCCAACCGATCCTAAAATGAAGCTCGGAAAAACAGTTTGGTCGAAAAAAAACAACAAAAACTCTAGATTTTACAATTATCTTCAGACAAAAAAAATAAATGAAAGACTAGATGAAAATTCATTTTCCTGAATAACAATTAGTACACGAAGATTTAGCAGAACAAGGAAAAAAGGATATTATAATTTTTTGATTTTTCCAACTTCAGGAGTACGAAATACATCATGTCAAGTTAATTTAAATTGAAAAATTTTTTACACAGAGGCGAAGTTGCACTTCGCATGCACAAGCTAAAATATGACCGATAACGCTACTGGGGAAAACTGAATGAATAAAATTTTGAGTCTAAAAAATTTCAACAAAGTCACGCACGCCAAATATGAGTCTACATAATTGCTAAGCGACGCAAGCAATTATGACGAAATAGCAGTACCAGTCAATTAAAAAAATTACCAAAAAACCTGACTCAATTTATGAAGCGGACACATTTTAACTTGTATACAAAAAAGTTCATTAAAAACATCCGACCCTGCGCAGGTTCGAACCCTCTTATTTTGTTGCGGGTCTGCTTCCCTACCTCTACGCTACAGATTCTTGATAATTTCAAGCTAAAATGTGTTTTTAAATAAAATAGTCTGTGTTAATATCCTTAGCATTGGCTGTACTCAATAGCTGGTTGTTGATCGAAATGAACACTTTAAAAATGAACACATTTTGTGGCAACGAAATTTCCGTCGCAACAAAATTTGCGACTGTTTGGAAAAAAAGAGTTCATACTAAAACACAAGCTTTGCTTGTGTAATTAAAACCATTTATAGAACAAATCAATCATAATTCAAAACACGATTGATTGGATTTTTTAAAATTCACTGGACATTAGTTAATTTGTTTTTTTTCGACTTTAAATTTGTTTCGAGTAATTCTTAATAATAAAAACAAAAGCAAAATTCGATGTTTGTTTTTAATGCTTTGCTTTTCTTCTCTCAAGCAATATCAAATTTGATTATCTGTTGATTTGAATCGATTTTTTTTGCGTCAGCGGATTGATACGATATGTATGCGTTGGGCGCAATAGATAAATTATATCGCGTCCAGACAATTCGGCCAAAGACATTTCAGCCGATTTGAAATTCAGACAATTCAGCCAAATTTATGCAGACGATTCAGCCAATAATAGTGACCGCCGCAGTCGCGCCAACGTGTTGCGAGCTTGCCAACAAAAGGTAGGATTCTATACGAAATTTAGAGCCGGTTATCGCCGCGAAGCGGCGACGCGCGCCCACCGGCGACCTTAAACCGAGAAATATCTCCAATTCCGATTTTTTCTTTCGAATCTAGCGTTTTGTAAAACTGACTGAATTGTCTCAAGTTGAATTGTCTGTATATTTTTGGCTGAATTGTCTGAATTTCAAATTGGCTGAATTGTCTTTGGCCGAATTGTCTGTGCGCCAAATTATATATAAAGATCTCATATAATACTCAAAAACTGTTACTCCGAGAACCGATATCCGAGACAAAAAATGTCAAAAAATCAATGAGGATCGAGTATGTAATGTTAAGCCATAAGCCTACCTGATAGGTATGTCGAGAATAGTCTTTGGCCTGAGCAGAACTTTCCTCGAGTGCTTGAGGAGAAGGCAGAAGGGACCATCCGGGTCGAACTCATTCTTCAATCTCTCATTCTCGCCCGGCAAGTCAGCTGCAGAGGCTGCAAAACAAGATAAAAAACTTAAATTGCCACTGGAAGTTATGTATGTACAAACATCATACGTACATTATTTATTCCGTAAAATAATACTAAGGCTCTGTTTTGGAAGAGTAGAAAAAATATGATGGAACAAGGCTAATAGTTTAAAATTGAATGTGATATGTACTCAACACTTTTGGAATTAATGAAATGTTTTTTTTTGGAATTAATGAAATGTGTTTTTTTTTGCACTTAGACTGTTGAAATTAGTGAAAAAAAAGAGACTAGATAGAGTAAAGAGAACCACACTTTTGAATTACAATAAATTGGAAGTTTATAAAACACTTGTGATTGTGGGGATAATGACTATGATGATGATGTCCGGTGGACCTACCTGCAAGCATGACATCGACGAGGACTGTTTCGTCGGTGGGGTTTCGGAAGGGGATGATGAGGGAGGAGTTCTGGCCCAGCTGGCATTGCACTGACACTGGCTCCACCTCCCAAGGACTCACACCCACCCCACTCGCAATGAACACCCACTCTCCAAACTAACAACAAACGCCAATCAGTTTTCAAAGAATCTCAAAAATCACTGAAAAAAAAGAAAAAAATTTAAAACTCAGCGCGCTGGTCTTAATAAATAGTCGAGAAAAGACGGCATGGATCTACTAAACATTTCAGGGGGAGATTGTTAAAAAGGGGGAGATTGTTAAAAAGGGGGAGATTGTTAAGTAGGTCAAGTTAGAAGAATTTTCGACCAATCAGAGTGCAGCAAAATTATAAATCGCAATACAACGCTCTAGTGTGATTTTACTCTATATATTTATGGGGGTGGAGATTCTTTAGTAGATACCATAGGGGGAGGGGATTGTTAAGTAAATCCGACGGCAGTTTTATTCTAGGCATAAAAACTGTTTTTTTTTCTATCTAGCTTGTTCAAAAGTAATTGTTTTGGGTTGAAAAATCCTATGTGCGGTAAAACTATGGATAATTAGAGAAGATCTAAGATTTTCTCTAAGTGGATATCGAAAAAGAAGAAAAATTTGTCAACTTTTTCATGTTTAATAATTTGTTTTTCGATCTGCAAACTTTTGAGAAGTTCAAAATGCAGTTCTTTGGCACTTTTTAGGAAACTTTGACCAAAGAATTGCGTTTATTTACCGGATTCACTAAAACAACGAATATTGGCGCCAAGGGCGTCATTCGTTTTTATAGAGTCGGTCGGCCAAAAATCGGCTTTGAGATCCTAAACGGAAGACCGTCTGTTTAATGCTTTAATCGAACTCAAAAATACTGGCATTCAAAATTGCATCGCTTATTATAACATTTAGTCACATAAAAAATATATAATAAAAATAATAATCGGGAATTCTGCGATTCGCTGAGTATATATGAAAAGATATCCAGCCTGTCTAAACATAGTCAGTTTCTATTATTTCCCCACATTCCGGAATTATTCGGATGAGCAAAACTCTTTCTTTTTTTGCGACTCAAGGCCGATTTTGCGTCGATAACTTTCACGTGGTACCCCTATGGCAGCCGAATTCGGTCATTCTGTGGTTGACTTGAATCTAGAGGTCAGTGAGAGCTCTTCTTTTCAAACTAGCATTGCCATGGCAGAGGATCGATTTACACGATCTGACGCTTTAGATGGAAAGCCCCTTCCGCTTTTGATAAGGGCATCTCTTAAGCTACTGAATCTCTTGGAAGTTCCTAAATTAGTGGCTATGGTTCGTACCTGATCGCAGTTGAAAGTGATCCTTCCAACGTGGTTTCCTCTTCCCAGGCAGGAGGGTACAAACAGAATGGGTGTCTCCATGTCACTATGCGCAGGCAGCAACATCTGCACAACAAAAAAGATAGACGAAAAAGGTCATAACAAAACGACAGTAGGTAACATGTATGACAGAAGAGTTTGCCAATCAGAATTGAGTGTTCAAAAGATAGATGCACAATTTTAAAAAAAGTTACCGCGAAGATCTCAAAAACATTAACGAATCCACATCAGAAATCAATGTTATTCTTCGGACCATGAAGCTCTCCACGGTCAGTTTTATCTTATGTAGTTTTTGACACTGCTGCTACCTTTGGAAATAAATAAAAAATTTGGCTTCAAACGACAAAATTGGAGGTAAAGTTTGGAGTTTTCGGTCAACTAATTCCATTCAGATTGGTTGACCGGACAAGAGATTGCGAAAAAATGGTCATAAACTAAATTATACCTGTGATCCTGAAGTCATCCCCTCAACTGTGAAATTATTTGGGTTGGAGGAGACAGGACTAAGCAGCAGGTCCTCCCCCGTCGAGTTGCTCAATCTGATCACGTGTCTCTCCCACTGTCCCAGGGGACACTGCATAGGGGGCAGCTCAACCGGCTCAGGGGGGTTGCCTTTCAGTTTGAGTTTGTACCAGAACTCCCCCAAGATATCGTTTGAGAAAATGAGTCTGAACAAAGTTACCCTTAGTGCAATTGACCCATATTGCTATTAGTTCACTCGCTAGCCCTTACCAAGACATTCTTGTATGATTCAGAAGGAAAACAACTCTTTACCAGTTTTTGGTCAGATATTTAAATATCATGCAATAAGTGAAGGAACATGAATGCAAGATTCAAAATCAGTAACTAGCAAAAATACTAGAAAAAAAAAATCCAAGGGTTAAAAAAGTATTGAAATTGAAAACTGTAGAAACATATTTTGCAATAATGCTCATTCAAATTTTAAATTATCAACTGTAAAAACATGTACACTAAGGAAAACGGACTAAAATATTACAACTCTATAACCCTCTCGACTTAAAATAGAACGAGATACAAGAAGATGATGCTTAAAAACCCTCTAGTTTACGAAAATATTAATTTTAGATTTTTTAGATTATTTTTTGTTGAAGATAAAACTGTGGCAATATATGAAAAACATTCTGAGAACAACACTAAAATCCATCTGATTTGATTACGTACATACTTTTCAAATTAAATCTCTGACTTATCAAGAAAAAAAGTTTTGTTCTTTTCGCTACCTCAATGAAGGGTCCAGCATGGTGTTCAAGATACCGGGTACTGGCAGCTAGACGTAATAAAACAACGATAGTAGGATGCTGCGCAAGTTAGACAAAGAGTTCCAGCAAAAAAGTGAAACTCAAAAGTAGGAGAAACAAAAAAATTTGAATGGTGTTTCATTTGTTTCATTTTTTTTTAAGTAGAGCGGTGATTGTCAGAACCAAAACCTGCAAAAATGAGAGGCTAAAAAACTATGTCCAAGTCGGAGTAGAAATGAATTGGGTCGTTGTGTCATTTCCTATAATATAAAACATTGCGTCATTTACTTGTTGTGTCATGTCATTTACTTAATGATTTTTGGATTTCGAAATATGATACCAGGCAAATTTGGGCAGAAAAAACCAACCTAACGCCATACTTTTTGGTAAGCATGGCGTAGGGTTGGTGCGCGCAAAAAAGGTGTTTTTTTTGGTATAAAAATTTGAGTTTCCAAAAAGGGTCCAAAAACGGCTTTTTTGACCTAGTTTGCCTACAACTCAAAAATTTGCCTGCAGCGCAAAAAAATTTGTCAAATTACGGACTGCTAGTGTTCTGGGAGCGCTCGGAAACTCAATTTCGTCGAGTCAACCTAAACAAAAAAAATAAAATTTTTGAAAATCCGGCCCCCTCGAAAAAATCTTGGATCCGCCCCCTGATGGCGAACAAACTGAATTTTTTCTCTGCCACCGCTCCCTTCGCGGTAAATTAGTCTGAAAAACGAAAAAAACTCAGCCCATTTTTTTCGAAAATTTGTAAAATATTATTTTGGCGTTAACATCACGACTCAAAATGCTTCAAAATGAATAATTAGTCGACCCTCCTCTGACATTCATTTGTTCTTTTGTTCACGCACAAAATTGTATAAACAAAAACGCTGAAAAATTATGGATCTATTTAACTATTCCCCCCATAGGTACCTAGTAACGAATTGCAACCCCTATAATGATCTAATTCAACGGTTAAGCACATGTAAATTTTGTACCTAGTACCGAATCTCTCCCCCTCTTTTTTGCAAAAAGGGGGAAATAATTAACCAAAATTATTTCCAAAATTAAAGATAAAATTATTTTCCTAATTCACGCTTACGTTCCAGTGCTCTGTCCAGTCTTGGAGGGGGAGAATGAGAAAGAGTAGGCGCCCTGGGACTTAGGGGGGATGAGGACGCTGGTTTCTCCCGATAGACCATTTCCTTCCAGGGACACCTGCATTCGCAACTCCTCTTCCATCGGGTTCGAGAGGGGGATCTCGTGGGATGTAGAGCTCTGAGAAAAACAAACAATGAATGAAAACAACCTTTACTCAATTTTCTACGCACAAAGGTATCTTTAATTTTAATTTAGACACAGCGCGAATTATCATTCTATCTAATCATCATCTTTAAATACAGAGTTTGCCTAACCGAAATCATACCACGCTCGGCAAGAAAATAAGGCAAAAAATTCCATATTATTTAACAAGATATTACATATTATTTATCAAGAGAATGGAATGAATTGTTCGTACTAGGCGACAACTAGTATTTATAATTGGTATGGGCACAATTGAAGGAAGTTAACCCAAGTTTGGAGCTATCGCACATTGTTGTAGATTTTGAAAAATCTTCTATCAAAGCCTTTCAAAAAAAATTTGCAAGGGTACTAATCAAACGATGATTTTACTATTTCACTGAGGCAAACTGGCGGCGCAAAAACCAGGAACTTGGACTGGCTCCCACATAGAGCAGATCTAAAAACGCGCCTCTGGCTAAAATCTTTTGCGGTCTTTATACTCATACCGGAATAAGACTTTGAAACAGGTCTCAATGCCCTACGCGCTTCAATTTGCGAATAGTCGGACGATTCCCCATTGATAGATTATGTGGATTACTTTGAGTCAAGTTGGGTTCGGACGATTAATAGTGGCCTTAGGAAGACTGGTCAGCGTCAATACCTGTCGAACCAAATCGAAAATTCAAAAAAAGGCCGACATAAGACTAATAATTCAGTAGAAGGCTGACATAGAGCCTTTCAAATGGGAATGGGGTGCTTTCATCCGACTATCCATATGTTTATGTAATTTAAACGAAAAAAACTGCAGTGCATGACAAAATTCAAAATGCTCGAATCAAAGCAGAAGAGTGTGCTATTAAAAATACCAATATAAAAAAATCCAATCGCATTTGGTTGAACTTCCAAAACGACCAAAACAAAACCACTTTTAGCTACTCACAACTATGATTTCTAGATCATGTGTTATGTTTTTCTTTGTTAATACAAACACAGTGCTGATTTAAAGTAACCGGACAAAACGAACAGTTGAAACTCTAAACGCGTTTTTTTTCTTCAAATTGTGTTAAATTGAGACAAAATCAGAAGAGAATAATAAATGCTTAAAATCAACATGATGCAACTTACTTTGCAAAATTCGAAACCAAAATTTTACCTCAAAAATAAGTCATTTTGGCTTTTTTTAGCTAATCAAAAACTACTAAGAAACTACCGAGTTGATTGATAAAAGTTATATCAAAAAGAGCCTATTACTCAGCCGCCCAATTGATTTCTAGAGGGGAAAAATCCTCACAATTTTGAGCAAATCATTTATTTGAGATTTGTTTTTAAGCAAAAATTTTGATTTTTATATAGTAAAAATGTTCTTTTTAAATATCAAGCAAAACTTTTTTCTGTTATACAGATACTTGGCGATTTTACCCTTCTATAACTTTGATTAGCTGCGTGAAATTTGTTAGTTTCAACGTAATTCTTGATTAACTCAAAAAATTAAAACTTAAGTTTTTAGAGTAAAATTTTCGTTTCAAATTTTGCAAACAAATTGCATTATGATAAATTTGGTGAAATTCTAACCAAATTTTGTTCTGTTCACTTCTTGTCTAACCTTAACACAATTTGACAAAAACGCATTTAAATTTTCAAATGTTTGTTTTGTCCGGTTAATTTAAATCAACACTGTAGTTGCGCTTTACCAATCTTCGCTTTTTTTAAATACTACCATTTGTCGCTTTTCGGCCAGTTTTCGCTTTCGACAAATCGTCGCCTTGCCGGATTATTATTAAAACTTGAAATGAGCCTCTTTTGATTAAGCATGAATAGTTCTTTTTTAACTCTTCTCCGTACTTACTAGTACGTTGCAGGACATTTCGATTGTCTTCTCAGGTAGACCGGGTGCCACTACCACTTCGACTGAGAACCAGATTTGGTAGAGGGGTTCATCTCCACTGTCACCCGAAGTGCGCTCCGAAAGGGAGGGAGAAGCGGCCCGAGTAGCTGCCAGCGTCTCCTCGTCAACCTCCCTGCAAACAATTTTCTCAAACATTTAAGCAATTTCGCATAGTTTTTACAGAATCCGGGCAAAAAAAAACGAATTTATCCAAACTGATTATGGAAATTGATGACATCATTGCCCAAAACTGCTGCGCAAAATTGACTTTACATTGCGCAGATTATGATCAGCCTCCTATTTTACTATAACTTTTTTTAAAAATGATCCATTAGTTAATTTGAAATTTTTTATGAATCATCAAATACAAAATTCAAACCGAAGCTTTAATTTCCCGTGTTTGCCACAGAAGGGAATTTTATAAAAGTATCTCTATTCCTTTTGGTAGCAGGCGCGGATCCAGGGTTGTTTTTTAAGGGGAGAACGCCGTTTTTCTGCCATTTTTTTAGTTTCACCAATTTGATTAAGAAACATTCTAACGTCGGTCAGCCAAAAAATGGAGTCTTAAAATAGTACAAAAGGGAGAGGCACCCTTTGGTTGGTGAGGGGGTAGAAGCCCTGATAAGGCACCCTCCGCTCCCCACGTAAATCTGCCCCTGATTGGTTGTTTATTTTTGCTTATTATAAAACTTAGCTGTTAATTATTCCAGAGCTGCCTGATGTTAGTGGTGGTGGTTCCTGGAGTGTATTACCTGCCCCTGTCCTTGGCGACGAATGAGAGCACGTGTTTGTAGTGACCTCTCCTGAGAGGGGTGAGGAACACTTCTACCATCTGCACCTTCTGAGGCAGAACAGTCACAGTGTCTGGTCCACTGAGAAAGCCACAGTCCGACAGGATCTGCAACAGGAACAGTGCAAAAGTCAACACATAGCTCAGAGCATATCTTACACAGGGTCTCTCTTAATATTCGCCTTTTTGGTGCCTAGCAACAAACTGCCACCTGTATAAAGAACTATTTCAGTGCTTAAGCGTATTGGAATATTGTACCTAGTAACGAATCCCCCCTTTGGCTAAATGGGGGGCTATTTAAAGAGATCCCATAGGCTCATTTAGAAGGAAAAATTTTTACAGTCGGCAATGAAACTTTAATGGGTAACATTAAAAACACAAAGAAAGCACGTAGCCGATTGTTGTGGCGCTTTCAGTTGTTAGTTTCATTTAGATGCCCTTAACAATATTCTTATTTGATTTTGAACTTAGTTTTGGTAAGTATTTAAGGCTATTTGTGTACATTGAAGGTCTGTTTTCTGGCAGTGGTGTTTGGAACTCTGATCATGTAGCCAATCTTCTTCTTGACAGTACAGTGGACTATGAAGTGTTCCAGTGCCAGAGGTCTCTCCCCGAACCCACTCAGTGCAAAACAGTGCTCCATCCCATCCGTCTTGTTGACTAATCTATATCAAGTTAACACCATTTATCCATCAGAAGTCCGAAATACGAGCTGTTCTGTTCGACTTTTTTTAAGGAAAATCGCTGTTGTGCTCATTTTTAAACACAACATGAATTAATTGGTAATTTTTCTGAGCACTGTAACATACTCTCAAAAAAATAGGGTAAAATCTTCTGAACTGAATTCAGGTAAAGTGAATTCCAGGCAAATTTTACCTTAACTTTATCTAGAGTTACCTGAAAAAGTATTAACGGTAATTTTTTTTACTTCAACTGAGTAAAAGTCGATTGAGGTGGAAAAAAACTCTTCTCAAAAACAAAAATTTTTGGCGGATAATCAACAAACCACCATTTCTTGAAGCCGAAATTGCATCAGAATAGCATAAATTACATCACAATTTTGTAACAACAATAAAAACCTGTTGCATTAAAATGTTTGGCTTGTTGGAATGGTAATCTTATTTTCGGCTTGTTGGCCCTTCGGCTTGTTGGCCTACCACCAAATGTTGATAACAAAAAAAAACAACTAGCAGCATTTTGTCAGAGTAATAATTGTAGCTCTAATCTAACCTTTAATGAAGAATAAAACTCTTTAGGAACAATTTTTCTGATTCTGTCTTTTAATCTACCCGTAACTATATCGAACCCCTCTCTGGCTGTCAGAACCTTTCAGAATCTTTCAAAATTATTCAACTGAATTCAAGTTAACGAGCTGTTCAGCTTTATCCACAAAGGAAGGTCCGAAATACAAGCTGTTAATTTAATTTTTTACAAAAAACTGCTGTTCTGACCCTGTTTGAAAAATACATGCAGCTGTTTGGTTATTTTTCTGAACACTATATTGCGCACAGTAGCAATTACAAAGAAAAAATTTCGCTAAATCACCTTAACTGAATTCAGGTTAAAAAATTTACAAAAAATTTTTACCTTAAGTTTATTTGAAAAAGTATTAAGTGATTTGAGATAAATAAGGAAAAAATAAAATTATTCCCCAGAGTAAAAAACCAAGCGAAGAATAAATCGAGAAAGGCAGTTCCAGCAATAAACTAGGATTAAAACAAATATTAGGAAGCGGTAATTATGCCGTCAAAATTTGTATAGACGCTCGTTGAGTCGGAAGAAAATGCCATGAAGCTTGAGCTATGAAAATTTTAATACTTTCTTGAGTGTTCAAGTATTCACACTACACAATGTTAGCCAATATAATATAAACAGAGCCAATTGAAGATTGGAAAAGAGTAATGAACGCAAGTAACATAAAAAAACACTGACTTTTGTGAAAAAATATCAACTTTTGAATTTCAAAGAAAAAAATAGATGCCCTTTAAGCTTTTTCAAAATCTGGAATGATTTACGATAGCGCTTTTTTGATAACATTAACCCAACCGGAGAAAATTGGATCAACAGGTTAAGTTTTTATTTAGCTGGAAATCTAAAAAACTTTCGACTTTCGAAACTAGAAATCGTTTTTCTTGCCATTTCCGCTTTCCTAATTTGAGAGAGCTATTTAGATCACTTTCAGCAGATAAATTTCTATTGAAATGAAAAAATGCATATATACATAAGTACATAAGTGCATTCAGAAGTGCATCAATATGTATTAATGCACATCTGTAATTATTACAGACTTTCATGCGCATTTTAATACTTTTTCCTGAAAAAATAAACAAAAAAAATCACCAAGACCTAAAAAAGAGTCTTCCCTATGTTAATTATTCTTAAACATAACAAAACAAATTTGAACATAGAGGTGAAGTTGCACTTAGCAAAATAAAGCGGGAAAACAACAAAAACAGCACTAAAAAGCGCAAAAACGAAGGAAAATAATCGGAATCAAACCACCGACAGATTGAGAACACGCGCTATTAACATGCTAATATATACATAATACACCTCTTTTTGCGACTTGGGCTACAGAAAAGTGAATTCATAGTACAACATTGCGATCGCTAGCTCGCATGTGTGACACAGAGGCGAAGCTTCGCTTCGCAAAAACTAGCGAAAACATGACAAAAATCAGCTCTATAAAGTGCAATAAGAAAAGTAGAAAAGTCTCCAATTAGAAACATTATGACCTAGAGATTATGAGGCTCACGCACTAATCACTTAGCCACGAACGCTTAATAACTCACAAACACTAGCCGGAAAACAAAACAGATATATTGAAACTTCCAAGGCTACAGATTGTGATTATAGCAAAAATGCAACCAAATTAGTGAACACTATTATTGAACAGTTTTAATTGAGAAAAAAGAAGGTTCGTACAAATACACTACGCTCGCAAGCCGCGAGTGTAATTAAGCAAGTGTATCAAACATTACTAACGGAACAAAACTTACAAAGCAGTAATAAAGCCGAAAATGCTTGAGCAGACACCATTGAGCCAGAAAATTTTGTTTTCATTAGAGAGCCAGAAAATTTTGTTTTCATTAGATAACTTAAAAAATCAAACTTAAAACGATAACTTAAAATGATAACTTAAAAAATCAAATAAAAGTTTTGAAACCTTTTTTTCAAAAACACACACTTACAAAAAACTTTTGGCTCATCAAACAGACGACGCAATTAGAGTCCACTAAAACGATACAATATGCGTCAAAACCTTTCAAGTCAAACTGAAAGAATACCAAATCAGATTTGACGAATTAACAGTCATTATAAGAAACACAACACGATTATTACGGCAGAGATGCTTGAATGCAGACATGCACAAAATTTGTCTAGTGACTGACGTACTGTTAGTGCCTAAGTACTGAGACCTATCCGATTTTTTAATAACAAGTTTTCTTTTCATTTTTTATGACTTTGGATATGACCCAAAAGATCCTGATTTTTTGTTAGTGTCATGTAAACTGCTCTCTGTACCTGAGACTTCCCTCGGAGCTGCCTTCGAACATTGGCTTGAATGTGAGAGGGTAGAGAGTGGTTTGGTTGGGGGTGGCTGCGATGCTCTGGGGTCCACTGAATGCGTCCCCTTTCAAGTACGCTTGTAACATCCAACTCGCATCCGTGTTATTCACGATCGGGATCTCCTACACGCAACACTTAAAATTAGTTGAAATAGTCTGAAATATCATCTGAGATTCCCTGGTTCTAGAACACTATTCAATTATTTAGTATGGTTCTAATACCTATTAAGCGCGCTCATCCATAGTATCAACAGCTCTTCAGTAAGATTTGACAATTTAGAACAAAAATTGAAAAAAAATGCAGCAAAATCTATAATATGATTTTAATGTAGGAGAAAATCTAAGATTTTCTCGAGGAGGAGGGAAGTAAATATGTCAAAAATGCGTTTTCTGGCTCTTCTTGATAAGTTCTTCCAGACGAATTGCAAAGCACAAGCGATCAAAATGCCGTAACGGTGTCACCAAAAGCGGTACCAATATTTGCGACTTAGTTTGGAAAAAAGAATAGTCACACTATTAAAAAAAATTCGAAAATTGCCAAATTTTTGAAGAAAATATAACAAAAATGCCGTTTCTTTGGGCTTTTTTTGCTAGGTTGTTCCAGACGACATTCAATTCTAGTACTTATTGGCGTCAAAATTGCCTTGAGAAAAACTTGAAATTAACCAACAAAAAAAATATAGTTGAAGCGAAGAGGTCAAATCGCGGATGCTCCCATCCATAAAATAGGCTTTTAGTATATCTATATAATAGTCTTCTATAATAGGATCTATATAATAGTCTTTTTGAATAGAAAAAAATAATTGTGATAAGTGTCGTAGTTCACCTGAACCACAGTCTGCTGGGCGGGACATGAGAACTCCAGCATGGCCGTGGTGCCCTCGGGACTGACTGACACCTCGAGGTGATACAGGCGGATGTCATTGGGACTCCGCAACACCAGTCTGCACGTGTAGTGTCCCACTTGGGGTGCCTTGAATTTGATGGGCAGCGAGATGGTTCCATCATCCAGGTTCAGCCCTGAAAAACAGAACCACAGTTTGCAGCTGAACTATGATAAAATGTCTGCCTTCAATTTAACTCACTTTTATGTACATTGTTCCAAAACTTGTTGAAAGAACTAGTTAAAAGCAAGTTTGCACGGTGAACACGCTTGAAACTTACATAAAACCTTATTCCACGTATCATGTATCTTCTCCCATTTCAGTTATAGAGTTTCTTTCCTTGTTTTGTCAAAAAAATAGTAATTGTTCTTCATTTCATTACTATCAATTTTTGGAAACCAACATAACAGTCAGTTACATGCGAGTTTTTCATTTATCGAGATCAGACGAGGTTCTCAAAAACAAGTGTCATGGACTCTTTCTTTTTATTTTTGTTCACTTTTGTCCCTGTCTTTTTTTAAAAAAATTTAGCAGCACTTGCCTAGATCTAGCAGTGACTTGGGAATGATTCCCGCTTGGTCCTGCGGGGACTTCTTTCTCTTCAGACCATCGTTGATCGGATGTGGCACAAACACAGACTTGGGTACTTTGAAGAACATAGACGAAGCGTCACAAGTGAAATCAGTACCATCTGGGTTCAACGTCATCTGAGCTAGCAGGCGCGACTTCTTCTTCGGGTTCAAGTCGGGTTCGGCTAAACTAGCCACCGCCGCCGTCACACTACCCGACGCCAGAGTCCCGGTGAGCTTGCGTCGCGTGAATTCTTTCTCACTCATGAGTTGTTGAGCTGCCACTACCAGTGCGTGTTCGCGAGCCACGTTCGTAATGGGAATGTGAAGCGTTTCTGTGATCTCCTTTTTGGCTTCGCATCGCAGGTATACAATTCGGTCATCACCTCCGTACAGGCCTTGGCTACCGCCTATGATCACATTTGAAATAAATTTAATTAAATATGAAAACTGATATTAAAAAGGCTGCAAATTTTCAACTTTGAATGTCACGAACATGTTTTAACGGTTCACTTTCCAACGTTGTTAGCTTAATAGTCAAATAAACTTTCAATCTACGAACGAGAGATAAATTGCTCGTGAATCATTGTTTGCAACAATTCTTTAGATTCTTTGATATTTCTCCAAATAAAAATGGCTGCTAATGTTTCCAGTTGTCGCTTTTTGCCGGTTGCCCGGAAAGGCGAACTGAGAAACTAAAGATGAAAAGGTATTTTAAAGTATCAATGCCTCAAGTATCAAGAGAATTTTGAGTGTGACGCAAGGGTCTTGGAAGGCCAATACATTATTCTTGATTTTTCTTGCAACATTTGCATTAATTTTGCAAGATTCTTGCAAGACTTGCATTCATCTTGTAGGATTTGCATTCCTTCGCAAAAATCTTGCAAGATTTGCATTCCAAAAACACTAAGGTGAAGAAGGAGCTTAGTGGTGGCAAATAAGACATCATGGGGTCTCATTCGAATGAAATACGTGTATTTCTGTGCGTGGGTTGTGATTGTACAACGAACAGAAAAGGGAAAATGATGAACTTGATTGTATCTAGTGGCTCGTTTACCTTTTTGTTTGACAGGCACGCCAGCGTCTACAAACAAATTTGCAGGTTTTTTGTTTCATTTGAAAACTTGTTCTTTAAATATTCTGCATATTTTTTGTTGCGAACACAGGAAATGGGGAGAAACTTTGTCACCGGGTGTTTAAGTTTTTTTATGCCACAAAAAAAATCAAATACCACGAATAATCATCGGAATGGGTCAACTGATATATCATATTAAGCTTTTTCTGTCGTGATTTGAATGAACGACTTCAAGAAATCTTCAGAAACACTCTCAATGTCGAGAACAACTGGCTCGACATTTTGATTTTTAGTCCAACATCGAGCGAATAAAAGGAGACAGCAGGCTTCTAATAGCGGGTTTTTAGCGTATTATAAAAAGCGTAAATCTTTTAGTTTTCACATAAAATTTAGTTTTACTCCAGTAGAATTAGTTTTCGAAGATTCTATTAGCGACTTGAAAGGATTAAAAAACTTTCTAAATATAAAGTTTTTAAAACAGAGGCGAAGCTGTGCTTCGCAAACCATAGCGAGAACACTACAAAAAGCAGCTCTATAAATTGCAATAAAAAACAATAGATATAAGCCTCGAATTCGTAAAAATGGCTTACTTTTCGGATTCGATCTGCGACCTAGAGATGACGAGTCTCACGCACTAACCACTAAGCCACCAGCGCTTAATAAATAACAAAAAGTAGCTTCAAATAAAGCAGAGAACAAATGCTAAGAAAATTCCAATGCTACAGATCGCGATTATAGCAAAACTGCTACCAAATGAACACTTTTAATGAACACTTTTATTTGCGAGTAACGTAACCAAAAACGGAGGTTCGTACTAATACACTTACGCTCGCAAACTCGCAAGTGTATATACATTAGTGGAAATAATTTGAAGAAACTTCAGATTTTTTTTTTTCATTTTTTTCCTCATTTTTCGAAAAGAAGTGTTGTCGAATGTGCATCATTTACTACAACTACCAAATCTGACCAAAATTTAGACTTTAGTTTAGATCTTTTTTTTGCAGCACCAACAAAACAGCGCAATTTGAAAAAAAAACGAAAATATTATTGATTTTTTAATGTTATGGTGACCAGAATTTTTCTGTGCATTTTGTACAACAACCAGCTATGGGTGGATTTTTTTTCTTCAGACAAATTTCGACTTTTTAACTAGCCATAATTGACGAAATTTTTTAATATAATTCGAAAGGTATTGTTGCCCTGAGCTCAAATTTGAAAATATATTTCAGCTGTGATTTTTTGTAGAGTTACGGGGGTTTAAAGATTGCCATTTTGGCCAATTTGGGACAATTAACGCGCGATATATTTCGCTCTATTAACGCGTAAGCGGAGATTCAATCCGCCTTAGAAATCGTTCCAAATTGGTTGATTGAAACTTACTTGCCATAATTGATTTGTTACAAGAAGCGAAATCTATCCTTCTGTACTTTATATGGCGTGTGGGGGATGATTTTCATTTAAAAAATTCAAAATTAAAAAAAAATTTCATTTTGTTTTATTTTATTTTATTTTTTTAATGTTATTACTGCTCCATAAACCTTAAAAGGCAGTCGGAACATTCAGGGCTTCGCCGTGATACGCGCAGTCTTGTTTACTTTAAATTTGAGCTCAAATTTTTTTCCACTTTCTTGCTCGTAATTTTTTGGTGTCAAATGATGTCAAAAGCTTGTGCGGTAAAGGTGGATTTTCAAGTTTTTCTAAATTTGTCAATTTTGGACCAAGTTACACTACTTTGAGAAAATCTCAACGATAAAACAAAAAAGCAAAATTGCTCGAATCAGTGTGAAGCGTTAATCATCGCAAATGGGCAAATTCGTCGGAACCGCATAGTTTTGCTGAAAATAAACACACGCAAATGATTTCGGATGATATAAAAAATCTATCAAGGACCAATTAAAGTTGAAATTTGTCTGCGAAAAAAAACCACCACGAGCACAAAAAATCTTTTACTTTCTTCGGCAACAAACGGTCCTTTCGAGGCAACAAACTAACTATCCAACAACCAATCAAACTTGAACGAAAAACAAAAAATCTCACTTTTATACCTCGATTTCAAAATAGTATTTTGAATTGGTTTTACGACTAAAATGGAGTTTGGAGTGCAAATTAATTTACACCTTTTTTGACTTTTTCTTGTAATGCTTATAAAACCAGCCTTTTCAGAGTTTTTTCTGGACACAAGAGCGCTGTTAGTAGTGAGGGATCTCTTTAACTTACAAAGGGGGTAGGGATTCGTCAACAGATACGAAATTCGCATGCGATTAACCACTGAATTATTGGGCGGATGTTCGTTAGGGTGGAGGGGGGATACCTAAAGGCAAGATACTTTAGGGGGGATAACTAACGAGATCCGTGCGGTGTGATACGTTAGAGGAAAATCTACTCACTGGCTGCTGCTGCACTGGAGATGCGGTTGCTGCCCTGCTCAGCGGGCGTGAAGAATGGCACTTGTTGCGGGAGGGGCAGACCAGCAGTGGCCTCGATGAAGTACACGAACTCCCCAATGTGCTCATTGATGAACACGATCGAACATGGTCTCTTACCCTCTGCGAACGGCAAGAACAGCACACTCAGTCGGCCTCCTTTGCCTCCCTTGGCTTCCAGGAAGAGAGACTTGGCGCTGCAGTAAAATGAGTTCAGCTCTTTCGGTTTCTGTGCTGAAATAAAAACAATTTCTATTCAATCTGTGCATGGTTTGTTCGACTCTTTTGAGCAGACACTTTCCATGAGCCGAAATGAACACAAGAACAATGAGCTAAAATGAGTAATGATCTGAATGAACTATGATCTGATTCTTCATTTCATGGCAGGGATAAGAAAGTAACAATTTATTTTGAAAAAAAAAATTAAAATTGTTTTGTTTAGTTATTTATTATCCCAGTTTAAAATTTGTTGTTTTAAAAATTAGACAACTCCACATCCCTCTCCCACAGAAATTCGACCCCCTCACTGTCCAAAGAATACCCGTTTGGTATTATACGACCGTTTTCGGCCTATCGACCCAAAAAAGTTTCCGGAACGTGCCTTTGACGAAAACAATCACGAATTTTGAAGGGGGAACGCGTGTCGAAAAAATGTTATGTTTTGGTGAGCCGAAATAAATATAACTCAAATATATCGAAATCTTGACAAAAAAAGCATTTTTCGTGTTTTTTTTTTCGAAATTTTTTATAATGCTTAGGGAGAAATTAGAAAATTAATTTGATTGGCCTGAAAAAAAAAGATCGAAGAAGCTTTTGAATTTTTTTTTGAAAATCGGAAAGCAATGATACTTTTTTATTTTTTCAGAATATAAGGTTATTTCAATACATTGATATCCAACCCTGCTCATGATCATTTTCGAGAAAATTCAAAATGAGACAAAACTAAATCATTGCATCAGATCTATCAGCTCATTGACAATTGGCTAATTTGTGCTACAGAAGCTATTCCATGAGAGAAAGCACTGAGATAAAAGTTCGAATCATTGGTAATCGTTTAAAATTAACTGCTGTTATGATAGCATTATTGAACAATTTAATAACTGGCCAGCAATAAAAAAACTGGTTGTCAATTCATAACTGCAGTTGAAACACCTTTCTTTTATCGGACTTATTGAAATCTGTTGAATTTGGAATTAACTAGGCTGAAGCCTCAGAAATTTTAACAGGAACCGGATAATTTACAGTATCATTTTAATATATCAGTGGATGATGTTTTAACTGAGCACATGGTAATGAACGCTTTTTTAGCTATCAAAAACTGGCGTACTTCGCAGGCAATTTTCTGGCAAAAGCTTATCTGAAAGTCCGAAACTCTCATTCTTAAGTTAAAATGTTATAAAAAACAGATCTTAAAAGTTAACATGTCTTTAAATCAAATACGCAAACTACAGAAAAAAAAGACTTACGTATTTCAATTCAAACCTATTGAAAAATCAAACACTTAACCCTCCATATCCCAACTTCGTTTTTTGATAAGGCTATTAGCTGCTTGCGAGAAATCATAACTGGACACAGAGGTTAAGCAGAGCTACATAACAGAAACATAGCAGGGTAAGCTAGCCGACAGAAAATGAAACAAAAGCCGCCAAGTTGAAAAAAAAAATCAAAAGAAGTTGACTAGACCTGCCAAAATTTTGATGATGTTGTCTCAATTTGTCTCGAATAAAGTTCAGTTAGGGCAAAAATCTATTTAAGCAAGTGTATGTGAAATTACTGAAGGAAAAAAAACTTACGAGGCAGTAATAAAGCCGGAAATGCATGAGCAGGTACCCTTAAGACAGAAATTTTTGTGTTCATTAGACATAAGTTTTCAAGCCCTCCTCTCAAAAGCACACAGGTACAAGAAACTTTTGGTTGATCAAACGAACGATGCAATTTGAGGCCACTAAGTTGATACAATGTGTCAAAATCGGATAAATAGCAAAAAAAAACTGAAAATATACAAAATCGGAGTGGATGAATTACCAGTCAACATACAAAAAAATCGAGCATTATGGCGGATATGCTCAAATAAAAAATGCAAAAAACTTTTCAAGTGGCTGACGTACTGTTAGTGGCTGAAGTACTGTGAAAGTTATTTGCCTAGAAAAAAAGTCTTATGTTCCAATTAGATAACGATTGCTGTTCGCAAACTTATATATTTAAAAATGAAAAGAGGATTTGCACATAGAATATTCAAGAGGCAGCAGATAATCGAGGGAGGCGGATTTTCAGAACAATTTTACACAGAAATTGATTTGAAAAAAAAACTTTTATTTAAGAAAACCATCGACTACATTACATTAATCTAAAGCTTTATGCTCTATTGTATGGTTTTGAAACACCATAGTTCTTCGAAACACTTATTCTAACACAGAGGCGAAGCTGAGCTCCGCACCACTTGCGATGCAATACTCGAAAAAAAATGGCCGAAAAAATTTCAAAAAAAAAGTCGATAAAAAAGAAAATATTAACCGAAAAAATAAACGTTAAAAAACTAGATTTACTCAACCAGAAACTAAAAAAGTAATACAAAAGAATGTTAACATTTTCCATCGAAAACTCAACAGGTGGTTAAAAAATATGTTTGAGCAGAAACCGAATGCCGCATTAGCAGTACCAGTCAATTTGGTGAGAAATTTACCAATTAACATGCCTCAATTTATAGAGCGGACGCATTTTAACTAGTATACGAAAAATTTTAGTAAAAACATCCGACCGTGCTCAGGTTCGAACTCTCTTATTTTGTTGCGGGTCTCCTTCCCTACCTCTACGCTACAGCTCCACGATACCTTGAAGCTAAAAATTTATTTGTAAAATAATAGTCTGTGTTAATATCCTCCATTGGCTGTACGTAATAGCTGGTTATTGATCAAAATAAACATTTTCAAAATGAACACTAATATTTGCAACTTGTTGGAAAAAAAGAGAGTTCATAGTAGCATACAAGTTTTGCTTGCGTAAATAGGCCGTATATTTGAAATGCTAACATACTCAAAATATCTCTGTTCAAAATAGCTAACATGCTAACATATTCAAAATAGAAAAACCTGGTGGATGAATGAGTCCAGGATCCAGGAGATGAGTCCTGTGCCTAAAGTTATTTACGGGAAGAAAGTCTGGAACCCGATTGCAATACTCTTGCTCATCGCAAGGGTAATCAAATATCTAACTATTTTTGAACTTAGCGTAACGATGTCTCTAAGATGATATACATGAATTCTGTCAAAATCTATTAGTCAAGATCGCAAATTGTTTGAAGAAAAAGCTCAAGCAGCCAAAACATTCTGTGACTTTATTCGAAAGACGAAACGAAAATTAAAATTCCCACTTTGAAAATTTTAAAAGAAAAGTTTTGATATTGACCTTTGCAAGTAGTCTTCATGTATAAAACTATCTGATCACAGTTATGAATGCAAGATGATCCACTTCAAGCAAAGTTGATGTGATTTCTCAAGAAGATGAGAATAAGACCAAACAACTAACTGAAAAGAAAGGCTAAAAACACCTTCTATGGTTGTTTTATGATTGTTGACAAAATGCATTCTACATTTTTCTTCAGTTCACCAACTAACTACACGGATTTTTGACCCGAGGTGCCTCAGTTCACCCGGGATAGCTACCTTTGAGAAGTTTGGCCCAGAGAAAAGGCACAGCTAAACAAAAAATGAACAAATTTAAGCGCGATCAAATCTAAAGGTAACAATTGAAGCATGGTTGTCATGGGTTGAAGATGGCTTTGATTGAAGAAAGAAAGGTTTGAATCAGTCATCCTATCGATATATTCAAAATCATAATTGGTAGCTGAATACATCATTTTCAAGGAAAATTCTAGTTGTTTAGTTTTAGGGGTGGAAATATTTGACATTAAGTATTGATCAATTCGTAATATACATTTTTAATCCCATCTGAAAAATAAACATGTTTTCATGTCATTTTACGGAGAAAATTTGAAAAACACTCAAAATTTGACCCAATCGAAAATTAATACATGTTCTCTCAATTTTTAAAACATGAGGGCCAAACAAAACTTCAGAAATAATGAAAACTTATGAGCAATACTAACTGAGCAGTATCTCTGGATCATTTGGAACATACTCCTCCACAGTCTCGTCCAAGTATGACTCATCCAATTCAGTCTTCGTCTTCAGGCCGTGATCTATCTTAGACTTCACTTTGTTCAGCTTAGACCCCTTTGCACCAGAGCTCAGAGCGGCAGCTGATCTTGGGGCTCCCGAGGTGAATGAAGAGTTTTTAATGGAGTTGGTGAGTCGACTCACTGGCGAATCGGCGTCTGCCGACTCCACTAGCACCACTCGGAAGTGACCGGCGGCGTCGAATGGGTTTGAGACCTTGAAAACATAAATATTCACACTTTTTCCGAATGATAGTCCCGAGGAAGTTTATCAGCGATGAAGATTAACATAACATTCGGACGAATCAGACTTGAAGCTGACTGTTGTCCTGTTTGACGATGAAATTTGCTCGTTGTCTGAGGGTGGGGCAACATTACCCAGCCCAGCAAAATAACCAAAAAAATTGCATGTAGTTCTTAAGCAGGGGCACAACAGCGGTTCGCCGTGATGAGCTGTACAGCTCGTATGTTGGTCCTATCCCTCGTGGATAAATGATGTTAGTTAGTTAGGATTTTACTTCACCACTTAATGAGACCGCATTATAAAATCTCAGTTCGGTTCAATTAAATTCAGATACAATTAAGTCAGCTGATCAACACCAGTTCCATATCTTTCTATTTCTTTGGCATTTCTGCGATTCGCAGAGAATCTATGAAAGGCCTTGCAGCATGTCTAAGCATAGTCCGTTTCTCTTATTTCCCCAAATTCCATACTGAGTTATTTCTATTAGAACAATTAATTTTTACAATTTTATTCTTTTATTATTTTCATCCACACTTGATTAAATATTTTTGTATCTTTTCTTATCAGGAGTTCTCCGAGTGAATACCTTGAGGTTGATGTTCTGCATTTCGTAGCAGGGCGACTCCGACTTGATGACCTCAGAATGAGTCACTGATTCGATCGTCGTCTTCAGATCGAACACCAGGGTCATGCCGAGGGTGCCTCCGATGTTGCGGGCCACAAGACACAGCACCGCATCAGCCGGACGCAGGAAACGACTCTTAAACTGGATAGTCACGTTCTGCTCTCCTAAAACAATATGTAGCAGATAAATCTTCCAAGTTATCATGCAATTGCGTCGAATGATCCGAGAATGAATATACATTGGATGCATTTTGGAATTAACTAAGAAAAGTCAAAGATTAAAGGGACTAGCTTAAAGGTTTAGAAAGCATGGAACATAAATTACACTCAAATTAGCAGTATTTAATTAGTTCAAAATTGTTTACTGGAACGTTTCTGTATTGCTCAGTCCCAAAATGGGCTTTAAAAATTGAGTTTCAGGGGCAGATTTTTCTTTTTCGCGACCATGATCAGAGATGTACCTTTGGGACCGACAGTCACTGAGTTTCCCTTGTTGAGGTGGAAGTCCCTGGCGTCTTTTCCGGCCACGAAGGCGTGGTAGTGTATGGGCTTAGTGGCCGGGTTGCCGACCTTCACTTGTCTGGACACAGTGCCATGAAGAGAGCCCACGAAGTCTATGTTGGCACGTGGAACGTAGTGCGGCAACCTGTTAACATGAACCAGTCACGCACATGTAATTTGTGAATTCCGCGCCATCCCGCTAATGTTTAAGGTATTACACATTGGATTCTAAATTAAAAACAGATCATAGGAAAAAAGGCTGTTTTGGACTCCCTTACAAAAATGCTAGAACACGATATTATTAGTACCCAGGAGCTGTGAGCGTAGTTTAATTGTTCCGTCTTTCGATACGAAAGTAACGGAATATTTGTGCTCGGGGTGGGTTTTTTTTTCTTCAGACAAATTTCGACTTTTTAACTAGCCATTTTTGACAGAATTTTTTTATACCATTCAAAAAGTATTGTTGTCCTAAGCTTAAATTTGAAAAAACATTTCACCTGTGATCATTTTTCGTAAAGTTATGGGGGTTTAAAGATTGTCATTTTGGCCCATTTGGGACAATTAACGCGCTATATAATTCGCGCTCTTAACGCGTCAGTGGAGATTTAATCCGTCTTAAAATCGTTCCAAATTGGTTGAAAGAAGCTCATTTGCCATAGTTGATTTGTTATAAGGAGTAAAATCTATTCTTCTGTAATCTATATGGCGTGTGGGGTAATGATTTTCGCAAAAAAATCTCAAATTTTAGAAAAAAAAATTCATTTTGTTTTATTACATTTAATTTTTTTTGATGTCATTACTGCTCCATAAACTTTAAAAGGCAGTCGCAACATTCAGGGCTTCGCCCTGATACGAGCAGTCTTGTAAGATATTTGGCAATTAATGGTCTCTTTTCTGACCTGTCGAACAAGTGGGCGACTAGCATCAACAGGGGCACTGGGTTCGGATCGGTCAAGTCAATGGCCTGGATGTCGTAATCCAGTCCGATGAACTTGAAACAGTTGGTAATGGTGAGAGCATTATGCAGACACTGTTCTGCTGTATTGGGTGAGGGATACATATACTTCAAGTGAGTCTCAATTAAAAATGGGCAAAAGGATCCGAGCAAAGAGCCAATCACGAGGCCGTCCAGAAGGTCAAGATCAAAGTTCACAATCCAGCGAGATGCAGGAACTCCTCCCTTGACACAGTTGCGCCAAATGTTCTGGCGTTCGTTTTCGTAGTGGAAGTTCATCCAGGCCAGCAGAACTCGTTCAGGGTATCCGTAGATGTTACTACAGTTCGGGTCCGAGCTGACACTGGGCAAACTAGGCTGGTCTCGGTTGGTGCTCGGCTGCGAGCGGAATACCTTCATGGATACTCGGCCCAGGACGAAGATCTAAAAATTAACAATCACACTAATTTACATGCTTTTATTTTATCAATCTGACGCCTCTTCGAAGAGAACTGCATGCAAATTATCTTGCACTTACAGATTTTTTTAACCTGTTCTCGTTTTTGGTTATGCATTTTTCCGTAATTAATTTTCTTACCAAAGAAGAAGAAAATTTAATCGCAGGCCCTAAGCTAATGCCTGTTTTCGCTACCACCATTTTGGATACACTCGGGGTAAGACTGAATGAAAATCAAAAACGTTAAACGTTATACTCTTAAGACCTTGTAAATCTGCAGCAACACGTCTGTCCACGCCCTCTTGGATACACTCTCGAAGATGATCTCGTTGAAGTCACGTGACTTAGATTCACCTGCTCCCACAGCTCCTATTCCCGAGCCAGCGCCCCCTCCCGCCCCAGTTCCAAAACGGAGTGACCCCTCCCCCACTCCCATGGTGACTGTGCCGCCTGCAGCCAACGTACTGTCGTCTTCTTCGTCTCCTATACTCTCCGGTCTAAAATTTTCGTAAAAAATAGTTTTTTTTTCTCATTTGAGTTCATAACCCGATCAGTTTCTAAGACTTTGCAAGCGTTGAACAATAAATCAATATAAAAAACAATACACCAGTATTAAACAATATAAATTAAAAAAAAACGATTTTCCAATAGATATAGAGCTCAAGTTAATCGACCTTGCTAACAACTTAATAATTAAAACATCAGTGAACTTGACACTTTTTTTAGGCCACAAAATAGTAAACGGGTGCAAACGCTACTTTTTTTGACGGAATTCATATCTTAAAAATGCTTAAACCATCAATATTTCATGCGAAACTGTCAAAACAGAAAATTTGATTTTTTCTAGATGGACTGTCTGTTCCGGTGTCCCACTCTTTAACCCTACGATATTTAACCCCCTATGTTTACAGAACCCAAATGTGTCCCTAAAGAACTTTGTGTCATTTATAGTCGTGTCAATTGAAAAATAAAAACAAGTTAAAATTAACGAATGGTGTAGCTTGCAATACTACAAACCTGTCCTCGGCAGAGGTGTGAATGGCTCCTCTGGACTGCAGTTGGGCCAGGGGGTCAGAGACTGCACTGTGTTCGTGTAGGGACACATACAGTCTGTAGTCGGCCGGCTCCAGCAGGTACTCCGCACGCACAGACGACAACATCGCACCCTGACTCCTGACACACAGAAAAGAACAATTATTAACATTTTGAACACCAATATGCTACAGTTTTTCTCAGATATTCGGCCCCCTGACAGTCCAAAGGATCTTCTTTGGTACTTTTTTACTACACACATTTTTTGTCCATCAACCCAAATCGTTGGCGTTCTCCCTTTAACCATGGGGGTTAGGTTATTACGTTCGATTGGTGTGCAAGTCTGAGTTTTTAAAAATTCTTCGCTTAAGCTTAACCTCGTGATGGAAGGCCGAAATTGGGGGGAAATCTTTTGATAATTAGCAATAAAATCTGCAAGTACTAACTTGAGATAGTTGAGCATGGTTCTGTGTTGCCAGTAAAGACTCCACATCCTCTCTTTTGGGTCAGAGGGCAGAGGCTGGTTGGAGGACACCCCCGGCACTGTCTTGCCCCCTGTGAGATTGGAAAACATCTCGTAGATTGTCTTCACATCCTTCCTTGAAGAATTGATCTCGGGTGCTGCTCCCTTTGATACTGTTTTTCTTACATCACTCGTCTGCTTCTGAGTTTTGTTCACATTACTAAAATATTACACAGTTAGAAATTCGAGGTTAATTATAAGTTAAATCACCTTGACAAACTATTTCTCAAACCAATCGATTGATTTAAAAAGCAACCGATTATTGAACAAAGGATGGTATTGGACTTCACTAACCCTCTGAGTCCCTGGGGAATGCGGATGGGGTATGGTCCTCCCGGCCACCCGTGCTGACTGAACCACCTCTGGGTGGCACCCAAAACATCCTGGTGGAACACGGCCTCCTCCCCATCTCCCATCGGGAACACAGCCGAGCCCAGACCCTGCCTGGAGGCCAGGGCAGCTGCCGTGTATTCTTCCGGGTGCATAGCAGAAGGTTGCGGAACTTCTTGTCGACCGGACTAGAAAAGTGAAAACATTTTATTCACGAGAAAACTGAAAACATTTTATTCACGAGAAAACTGAAAACATTTTATTCACGAGAAAATTGAAAACATTTTATTCACGAGAAAATTTTACGCATATGAGAAATGAGTTTAGTTTTTACCCACAATTGTTGAAACTCGCCAAAAATTTTAATGCCACACCATTTACAAATACGAAAAACTAGCCATTAAAACTTAGATAATCTTAATGAATATTTTAAGGTTATAGTAGTTTTTAAAAAAATTGAAATAAAAAAATACGACTGAAAAAACTCGTTCAATTGTTTTTACTTGTGTGTTATTGAGAGCTCCGTCGCGAGGTGTGCTTGGGTAAGTAGATCCCGAGTAAGTCGTGGACTCTTTCAGGGAACTTGAGGCCCTGTTGAATGTAGAAGGACTGCTGGTCCTGCTCGGATCCTTGCCTGACATTGGTCGTCCCAGAGGAGTTCCTACTGATATCATCATGGGGTCCCCCGCAGACAGGGATTCCTTTGACTGAGCCTTCAGACCTCGGAGAGATCGACCCTGCAAACAATTGAAACTTTTTTCACCAATAGTTTGGTTATTTAACCCAACAATCACTCAAAAGATATCAAAAAGTTCTTCATTACGAGGCCTAGGTGTGTCATTTTTGCATAGCACACTTTTCTGCTAATAAGTAGGCGGAATCCGTGGACATGCTTTATTACATGGATCCTCAGAACCCTGTTGCGGAATCCGTGATCAAATGTCTGCAATTGCGGTACGCAGTGTCAAAACAACGATGTCACGGAATACGCAACATACGTTTTTGAGACGAATTCTGCGGAATCCATAGATTTTAATGAACAGTGTAAAATGTTTGTGCATGGAAACCGCAATTTTGTGGTGCACTGTTTACATACGGGATGTTTACAAAAAAGTGGGACCTCACGACGTGGGTATTAGAATGTTCATTAACGTATTCTGGGCCTTCATGTATTCTAGAAGAATGAATAATTTCACGACGTATATCTACAAGATGGCTCTCTAATTTAAGACCATTAACCTCCCTGGCACACTAAATAAACTGAAAAATAAGTGATCACTCCAAGACGACACCATACAAAATCAACTAAATGCACTCAAAACCTATGAATAACTAACCTCAGTGACAAGTTTAGACATAAATTGCTACAAGCCAAACAATAAATGTTTTTAAAGTTGCAGTCAAACAACGTTTAATAAAAATTTCGAAGCAGTTCAATCCTTTTTAATTTCTAGTACATAGAAAACAACAGGTGAAACAAATGAGAGCTTACGTAATTGATTCTCTGGCTGTTAGTAAAATTAGATTAGATCTATGAGTATACATCTGAGTGTGTAAAGGGGGGGGGGGGTGTAAGAATCATCATGTTTGTTTAATGTGAGTCAACTGACCTGTTCGGTGGTGATTTTGAAGTTGTCGCGGTGTTTGGCCAGGAATGGGTAACAGGTGAGGATGCAATTGTCAGCACATGCAGTCACCATTACCTCAAAACTAAACAAAGACAAATCATATTTTACGGGACATCAAAAACATGGATGTCACTTTTACGTAGTGAAAAAATAATTAAACAAAGGCGAAAAAAATCTTCACAAGTCTTTGCAAAAAAATGGACCAAAATTTATTTAAAAAATTTAAAAAAACAAGTGAACGCTCAAAAATTTACAAAAATGCTGATAACTACTACAGATAAAAGCAGATACTTCTGGTGTTTCAGCCCACCTTCTGTCGGAAGAATCGTGGAATAGAATGGGAAGTGTGAAGGACACTGGCTTGGAGGATTTGAAGTAGAGAGTATAGTTGAGAATGCAGGCCTCGTTCATACACTCGCGTATCCGGTTGTAGTTGCTGCTGCTACTTGGCAGACCTCTGGGCTTAATTTTGAGACAGTCGATCAACTCGCCGTCCAGAGACTCAATTTTGGGCAACGAAATAGTCAACTCCGACTCACTGAAATAATTCGCAATCAAAAATTTTACTCAGATGTTCAAGCTATATAGCCATTAGCTCTGCACTGGCTCCTCATTTTATTTTTGTTTTTTTTTTTCAAAAAAAAATTATACCATAACTACAGCTTTGAGCTTACAACAGTCAGAAAAAAAACTTTTAAAGTTGGAGACCCCTACCAGTAATTAATTTGTAATTGTCAAAAGGTAAAAATTTAGCACTTTAAGAAGTGTTTTTACCGAGCGTAGGATCGTGCAATAACACTGAAGTCGGCCGTAATTTCCGCTCCAAGTGGCACCGGCATCAAAATGATTCCCGCCGGAGGGTTGAACGTCAGCGCAGGCGCCTTATGCGTCCCACTGAGTGCCACCGACCGGAACGGAGTCTCATCTTCATTGACGTAGATCAAAAGCTCGCCGCTGTAATCTCCTGTTTCGTTGGCCTTGAAACTGACCGAAAGTTCTATTTGCTCCTGCACTTCTAGAGACCCGTGCTGAGTTGTTTCATCATTACCCAAGAAGAAAACAGGCGCGGTTTCTGCATTATCGACCAACACAGCTCGCCACGAAACCTGTTTTGCAATCGCTGTATTTTCAATTGTAAACACAACAGGAGCACTTTCTTCATCCGGTAGCTCTTCGAAAGAAGACTCGAAGTCTATTTTTGTAGTTGAGAGTTTCAACGGTTGTCGGAGCGCCGTCGCTACAACTCGACGACGAGGAGTCACGACTTCGAATGGCATCACTCGTGGCTTGTTAGTATATGGAAGCGAAACTGTTCCTGCTCGAGATCCAGGAGTGGAAGGGAATGGGGTCGGAGCAGGAGTCGGGGCTTCTGTGTCGTTGATTGCGACATGTAGTATAAAATCATATGAAGCAACCTCAGTTGGTTTAAACTCGAGTGCGAAGTTTGCGCTCTGCTCACCTTCCAATATAACAGTATATACCCGACTGGGCGCTTCAGCCGTCATTTTCAACTGGACGTTGGAGTCCAGAGATTTGATGCCGAAATCTGGATGCCTGGTCAGATCTAGTTCTACTCTAGCGTCACTGGTAGCTCTGTTAATCATTTTGAAAGGCGAAGTAACAACTGATCCGCAATAGCATCCGCCAATTTTGAATGACTTCACGTCTAGTTCTACACTCGGGGGTTCCACGACACCTCCGATTCTCAGATCAAGAGTCTTCCAGTTTCTAAAGGATACCATTAGGTGTGAATCGAATTTGATGACCTGTGTCGGATGCAAGGAAACAGTAATTTCCTTGCTCCCACCGACCGGCACTTTTCCATATATGGGCGAGATTGCTAGACCGTCAAAAGGCGCGGGGTCCACGACCTCGAAAAACGCGTGGTTCTGACTGGGGTTGTATAGCACAGCCGTTCTAGTGGTGGTCATGTTCAGAGGGACGTTGTCGAACAGTACCCTTCTGTCTATGAATTGTACTTGTGGTTGTCCAAATTTGGCCGTGCATTTCAGTTTGATTGAGTTTCCGCCGTGTACTTGGAGCACGAATTCGCCCGCATCACAGGCTGTGTAGGAAGGATGGAAGACAACTTCGCAGATGAGCTCCTGAGATGCCTCGACGCAGCCTACAAAAAACGAAAAATCATATTTCTAAACTGATAAACATTTGTTGAAAAATTTGGACTGCAATCCAAATCATGATGAAACCCGAAACACGTTTCAAATAGATAAGAGTTCTCTTTGTGACCTAAATTTATGAAAAAAAATTGCCTTGCTATAGTATTTTTGCACTGTTCGCGAGTATAATTAATTAGAACGAGTGAAACAAATAAGATTTGAATGATAGAAAACAAGTATCACTTTTCGATTACATTAATTCAAGTTTAATAATCCAAAAAGATCTTTTTCTTGAATTGAATTTTTCTATTTTATGTTTTATCCCTTTTCTGATGAAAAAAGGAACAAGCTTCAAAAAGACTGCCTCGGATGCAATGCCTCTGTGCAGCAATTACAATGCGCCCCAAAGCACACCTTGAGATTCGTGGAATATTCTGGTCAAGGCAAACCGCGACCCCTCAAGTGAATACAGCCTATACAATAACAACAACAACAGGCTTCGAAATGATTTTCGAAATCTAAATAATTTGATGGCAGCTTGAGAAAGAACAGTACAAAGTCTTGAGAAAGCGATTTCTTTGTGACGAAATAACAGCGAAACAAGACTGCTCGTATACCAGGGCAAAACACTGAATGTTCTGAATTCCCATTAACTCGTCTCGAATAATTTTTGTTTTTGAAATCTTGACAAACTTTTTTAGGCTGATATTATTAAATTTCAAGTGTTAAAATCTGAGTCAAGTATGGAATCGATAAGATTAATTAGCTTACCTCAATTCATATAGAAACGATTTGTAGCGCGGGATAATTTGCCATGCGTAAAAAATGCGCGTTACACTTTCAGCATCAAAGTATAAAACAAGCAGTTTAGTAGGATTCGATTCACAGCGAATGTCAAGTAAATATAGTGGCGAGGGCAACCCTCTTGTGAACACGAAGATTCAGGGATCGAGCCCCGAGAATTTTTTTTGAAAAATGGTCTGAAAGAAAAACCTTACGAGCATACTTAGTCTTTACTTTCTTCATAAGTTGGAACAAAAGAAAACCCGAATGTACATTCCTCTTTTTCTTCGAACGTTGGAACAATAATACGTACAAATTGTTTGCCTGGTTTACTTTCGGAAAAACTTTTTGGTGCGGAACAATAATTCGTGTTAAGCGTTCAGCATCATAGATAGAGTCTTCAAAGTATTAAACGAGCAGTTTAGGAACGCATAAAGCAAATTCAGGATAGTGTGTAGCATATCCGCTATGGAATTTCTTCGAAATTCGGAACAAAAATATACGAGCACAATAGAATGAGCAGTTTTTTAACACAATTTTCTTGACTATTTTTTTAAAAATTAAATGCTAAATTTGTAATAAGTTAGCTTTGAAGCCTCCCCGATAGCAGTGAGATATTTTAAGGAAAAAGTTTCACTCTTGTTTTGTTCCGATTACTAGTGGAAATTGTAAAATACAATGTTTCAGATGGCCCAAAAATTCTGCTGAAAACGGCCATTTGGAAAATTGAAATATTAATGAGTCACGCGGCTATGGCTGTGGCCACGAAAAAATTTAGAACAACCCAAATTTCCCACTCATCCCACCCTACCTGTCGCTGGCCGGACGGAGAAAGCAGTGCCCTGTTCCCCAATGATGGGACTCCATGTGAACTCGGCCGCGTAGTTCCTCTTGTTAATCAGCGTCACAGTCTCCCGGAAAACAATAGGTCCTCCGCCTGCCGAACAGCCTCCTACATCCGGACGCAGTACTAAGTCAGTCTCGCTCAGTTCCAGTGCCACCGGGACCACATCGGCGTAGACCAGAATATGGTTTACATGCGTATAGTTGATGGTGTAGGAAATGTTCCTAAAAATTAAAAAAAAAAGCAACTAGTCGCTATGCTATCTAGCTAATTGTGACATCCATCGAAAAAATTTGGTTGGCTTTCAAAACAGGTAGACTAACTTTTCGATTTTTGTGAACCCTTAGCACCAACCCACCCCCTCAAAATATTCTAGACCCGCCCCTGAAAATACTTGATCTTGGATTTGATTTGATTAGATTATCTGGTGGCATTTTCCTTTTCAGTTTTCGAGGAGTTGATGACTGTGTAAGCATCGAGTGCGTGAGACTGTGTTACCTTTGGAAGCGTCCCTTGGTGTTGCTCTCGAACACCAGTGGGAGAGTGGCCTTGGAGTGGGAAGGGATGACCTGAGTCAGGGGACTGGTCTGTCTCAACTCCCTGCAGTCTATGTTCACTGCCAAGTGGATGTGTTGACCCAAGTTGTTCGCGATCACCAGGTCTTTGCTGTTCACAGACCTAGACACACACAAAACCCATCCTAGCCTATCATTAAAAAAAAGAAAATATAATAATCTTACAGCCACCAAATAAAAATCTGGGAAGCAGCATGAAACCAGGATGATACAGTTGTGAAAAGTCAGGTTTATAAACAACGTGTCATAACTAACACACGAGTATAAAACTCTTAAAACAAGTTTGTCAAAGTTGCATGCCCAATCAAACTGTATTAAGAAGCGATGTTGTCTTGTTGTTAAGTAACAAAAAAAAAACTAAAAAGCTTTAAAGAGATAAAGTTTCTTATTCTTTCACTGCTTGATCAATTTGTTCTCAGATCTATTGGTTTTCACGCAAACGACATTACAAAAATCCGGGGTGCGTACAGTAAACCGATGTGTCAGTAAATTACCAGATCAGTAAACCGATTTACGTAATAATTACATCAATTGCAGAATTAAAGCTTTATAGAATAAATGTTTTCTGAGCTAGAACAATAACTTTAAAACCACGGGGCGCATGGGAAGAGTTATCTTATTCCATTTTAAAATTCAATTTATGTTTTAAGGAAAAAAATTGTCATTTTGTAAAAATCTCAGTTTTTAGCTAACGTGATTATGTAATTAAATCATGAATTTTCGGTTTACTGATCTGGTCCGCACGTTTTCGGTTTACTGATACATCTATTTACTGATCTATCGCCAAAAATCCGTTCGCAACTTAGAGGGAACCCCCTAAAAATAATTTTAAATCGGCCATCTATAGTTGCGTATTTCAAGTGACAACGACATACCAATACCGCCGAAAAATCTAAGCTTCCTGACAGGAATATATAGCAAATATGGGAGAACTCTCGACAATCCACTCCCCTATTGTCAAAAACATAGACAAACAACTCGAGAAACCTCTCAGAAAACCTTGAAAATTCAAAAACCTTTTGGAAATGCCATTTGCAATATGAGCTATAAAAACGTTTGTATTTTCGTATAAATATAAATTGTAGATGAATTGCCTTAAGCAAATCTGTCCGTAGTCGACCGAAGGTGGTCCCACAACCACACTTCGCAGCTGCTGTGACGTCAGAATCTTCGCACAGTCCACCTTCTCCTGATTGGATGACGGCTGCGCATTCAGTCCATCCACCACTTTACGTCTACTCGCCTTCTCCTCCAACTCGTTCAGACTCTTCGCACTCAGAAGTTTGTTCACGTTCCCATCATCTGCTGCTCCTGTGTCTCGGCTGTCACCTTTCTGCTTGCCAGTCTGACCAGTTTTATTCGGCTTGCTCTTACTGTCGGCTGCTTGAACGAAAATTACCAAAAATGAAAAATGGTATTTATCAGATTTTATTCAAATATCGCGTGATACAAACGTGAATTTAACAGAACAGACCATTGCAAAAAACGTGCAAATAGAAGAAACCATCAAGAAATTTAACCAAACAGAACCACATACGTCAAATTGTACTTTTAAGCAAAACTTCATTTAAAAATCAAAAACCCATTAGTCTAACTAATGAATAGATATAAATCACTCGGTTCCAAACTGCATCAGAACTCTTTACCGCATTGGAACATTTCGCTTAAGTTCCTTGTCCAGTAGTGGCGACTCAAATCGTCGAAGTAATTCTCAGAAGAAGCTGTCATGAAACATTGTCATAAAAAGGACAAAATGCTACCTACATACATCAAAGCGCGACCATGTATGTCAAATTAGAAAATATACAGATTGATCACGTGAACATAACTTAAACAAAACAGAGGAAAGGTCGGTTATACCCTAACACATGCCTCAAACGCCATGTTTTTAAACTAATTTCAGACATTATTTTAGCTTGGCCTAAATTCGCAAAAATTTATGATTAGTTTTGATTTAGTTTATGATAGTTTTCATTGTGTCTAAATTTTGTCATATCTTGGAATTAGCTAAGCGGCTAGGCATAACTTGCGTTTGAGTGACTAAGCTGAACTCCTTAAGATCAATATCGGGGGGGGGGGGGGGGGGAGGAGGTAGAGGGGGGCTCATACCTTTCATCTCCTGTTCCAGTTCCGCAACTGCCGGCCTTGGGGGTTTAAGTCCATTGGCCGGCTTCAACCCAATGTTCACAGGGTCACTCAACTCCATGTGTTGTTTGGTGTCTTTCTTGTCCATGCGCAAATTCCTATTAAATCAAAACAGTGAAGTAAGGAAAAAAACACTTACTGTTTTCATAGCATTAGCTGAACTGCTTCGCATTTCTACGATGCAAATTTCCGTTACAGTACTCAACTTATTGTCATCGATTAGTATAAAAAAAAACATAATTATATATTTTTTATTGTTCCGACCATTTGCAAAATGGGGAGGAACTTTGTATTCCAGTGTTTTAGTTTTTTTTTTGTTTTCCACGCAAAATCAGGTACCACAAATAATCATCGGACTGGATTGCGTGATATATCATATTAAAGCCATTTCAGTCGTGATTCGAACCAAAAAGAGAGTGAAGAAAGTTCCAAAATTTTTTCTCCGTGTTGAGAAAAACCGGATTGAATTTTTTGATTTTTCGTCATAATTCGAGCGAATAAAGTAAGCGAGCAGGCTTACAACAGCTGAATCAGGCCTAATTTTAGACCTTAAAATTTAATTTCAAGCAAGTAAAACTAGTTCTTGGAGTTTTTTTTAGCCTCATTTTGTGAACCAAAACTTTCAAAAAATCTCTGAAAAAAATATTGAAAAAAAATTTTTCTGAAACTTTTTTTTCTAGTTTGTCTAGTACTTTTTCCACAAAAACTTTGTCCAGTTTGCCTATATTGCTATGACTGTCTAATATGCCTAAATAATATTTTTACGTCAGCTCCTTTTATCACACCAAGCAAAAAACGTTTTTCAATTATTTGGAAAAAAAACTTTCTAAACCATAGTTTTCTAAAGACCATGGTCGGAACATTCTGTGCTACTTGCTCAGTAACCGGCAATCCTTGTTTTTCTTTTTTTTGTTTCCACGCAAAATCAGCTACTACAAATAATCATCGGAGAGACTTGACTAATATATCTTATTAAAGCCTTTATAGTCGTGATTCGAACAACATTAAAAAATTTCATAAAAAAACCCAGGGTCAAGAAAAACCGATTTGAAATTTTTGGTTTTTCATCTTAATTCGAGCAAATAAAGTGAGCGAGTAGGTTTACAATAGCTTATTTTAAAGACTTAAAAGCTAAAATAAAACGTAAAAACCTAGTTGCTCTCGAGTAACGCTAGTTTGTTTTTGCATTTTAACGCTTTTTTGGAATCACAAACTTCAAAAAATCTAAAAAACTGCAAAATTTGAAAAATTTGATTTTTTATTGATTTTTTTTTTTCGTTTTTCTAGTAATTTTTCTGGAAAAATGGTTTTTTAATTTGCTTATTTTACTATGACAGTCGAACATGCCTAATCTTAAGTTCTTCGTTCAGCTCCTTTTATCACACCACGTCGAAAAAAACACACTAATTTGAAAAAAAAATTTGCTGTATTTTTAAGACTATGCTCGGAACATTCTGTGCTACTTGTACAGTAACTGGCTATCCTTGTTTAATGCTCTACAAATGATCGCCATAAAAATTGAAAACCAACATCCTTTCTAAGTCCACCAGCTGAACTTAACTGACCTCGTGTGTTGTATGTAGTTGATGTACTTCTCCTTGTGGGCTTTGACCTCTCTCGCCTCTTCCTCCGAGTAGGCGTAATCAGGGTCCACATACGAGTATCTATTCGTCTGGGTAAACAGTGACCTAAACGAGATAAAAAATTAAACAACAGTCATTGAACACTCTTCTTCCAACTTCTCAAGAGGACATCAATTCATTGACATGTTTCAACTTTTAGAGTCTGAAAATTGGCTGTTCTGAACCAGAGCTATTAACACTGTAATCGAAAGGCACACATGAAATAACTCAAAATAAAACTTCATATTTAGAAAGCTGTTACCATGTAAATCTTTTGGGCTTCGTGTTTCAGTTGAAAAGCTCAATGCAATACTTCATGGAACTTTGCAGCTCTAAGTTTTGATCCAATCCAGGTGCAAAATCCAAGTATAAATTTTTCTCAATTCGCTTTGAACGTAGTCTTAGCCTCATCATTAGAACGATCAACACATCCCCCCCTCCTCAAAAAAATGATACATCCCTGTTAGAACTAACTTGAAATGTGTTCCACTGGGTCTGACACTGACTGCCCTGTCATTGGGGAACGAGACAAGGGTGGTGTCTTTGCGCATGAACAGCTGCTGTTCATTGAGCTCATTTCTGTTCGCGTGAACAGAATCAACACGGGGTGCATTCAGAACGGCACACTTGGGGGTGAAGGGCTTCAGTTGTTGCAGGGTAGTTTCCGCGTTGGGACCAACCTACATGACAGAGACGAAATTGAGCTTCGCACCACAATCGATGCAAAAAAAAAACAAACCAATTGCCAAAAAAAAACGACAATGAAAAAGTTTCAGAAGTAAAACAATTTTAAGAGAAATAACGACCCATTTTCCATCACAGTTATGATTCATAAGATTTAGTTTACAGACACATTTATGATTTGTTAATTCAAACTAAGATAGAATAAACCCAGGAGATGAAACTTATTCATTTCTCGAAGCAGAGGGAGAGAGAGATACGAATTTTGGACAATTTAAGAGCGTGACAAATAAGCAGACAATATTTTTAATGGCAAAAATACTTCAACCTATGATAGGCAAAATAATCCACCAACCTCGTTGTGCACTAGTGGAGTGATTCCTGGGTTGTACTTGATGGGTGGTATTTGGGTCACTGGTTTGCTCTGGCCTGTCAGGGGAATGTAGATGGTGTGAATTGGGGTCAAAGTCAAGGTCATCGGAGAAAGAAGGGCTGAAGATGATGAGTCACCACTGCTGTCTGATGTGTTGACTACAGGACCCAGTATTTCAATCAGTTGGGTCGTGTTGAAAACTCCAGCTTGATTGGGTAGGAAAGAGAACAGAATTTCCTACAAAAACGCCAAAACTCAAGTAAAGATGATTTCAAAACCAGAATTTCTGGCTTAAGATTGGTAATCAAACGAGAAAGCCCATTGAAGAATTTTTTCTCAAATTTGGCCTGAAGTTACAGTAAGTAGGTTTGTAAGTTTGTTCTTCCAAACTTAGTTGGCCCGAGAAAAGGTCATTTAAGACTAAGAATTCTTTTTTATTCTATAGTTTCATTCGAAATTTTTTAAAAGTGTTGAACTTTGAGTTTTCTTAACCTTACCTCAGAATGTGAAACTTAAACAGAAACATGTTGTGTGAAGATACTCAAAAAACTTTAAAAAATATCGGAAACGTTTTTGATGTTCATTTTTTTTCAAGTTAGTAAAAGCTTTCAAAAATTTACAGAAAGCACCTTATTTTTCAAAATCCATATTTCGAGCACTTTTCGTAGTCCAAGTAGAAGCCGAGTACGCGTTTCGCTTTTATTTTTCGCTATTACTTTTTTTCGCGTTACTCACAGAGTGGGTGAGTGAAAAACGTGAGTGAAGAGATACTGGCCTCACCTGGGACTTGCTGGGTGGGATATTTCCCTTCTTGGGGTCGGTTGAGAAGTGGGCGACTCTTTTGAACTTGAAGTGGATAGGGAGGGTGTCTGACTCATTGGTCAATTCACACACCAACTCCCTCCTCTCCCCCACCTCACACTCCTCGAAGTCGAAGCGTCTCAAGGGGGGAGTGAGGGACACCAGGATGGGCAGAGCAGTCCCCACCAACGCCAACTCCATCCGGGGGACTAAGCGATCATCATTACACCAAACACAAAAAATATTTTGCATAGTAACCTACGCAAGCTTCATGTACTTTTTTGTTAAAATCAGCATAAATATCTGTAGCAAAAACTGATAAATTTTGGGTTTTAATCATAGAAATTTTTTTTTTCATTAAGTTTAATACCATGCAAAGGAAGATCACTGAACTGTCTTAGAAAGCAAAATTAATAGAAATAATTTATGAGCAATAATAATGTTAATTTTTGCACAATTTTTGACAATGTTTTCTTACTGAGGTCATTTTTGGCAATTTCAGGTACACTGGCCCACCCGTTAAATTATTTTCAACACAGGCTAATCCGAGCTCCGAGCTTCGCAGCACAGCGATACCAAGGAAAATACCAAGAATCAAAAAGATAATGTGTCTCAAACGAAAAGTGAAAAGCTTGATTGAAATATTATGTTGAAGAAATTTTAGGCGAAAAAAACTATAAAAATCATGTTGCAATAGTTATAGAATGTAATTACCTAAAACATAAGAAGGATTTGGGCTACTTGAACTTCACTCACTTCTTTTTCATAACTAACTTAAAGAAACCAGAAGAGAGAAATTTTTGTTTAAAAAAATGAGATCAAAAACTCCTAAAGGTACTCAAAAACGTTGATTCAAACCTTGCAACCGAACAACTGCATATTTTACTGGAACAATCCCGGATAAAAAGGCCCTATCCGAGAGTTGCTATAAATTAAGATCAAAAGTAAATAGAAAAAAATTTAAAAACTGAACAAAAATATATGCAACAGTTTCAAACAATTGGCAAAAAAATTTTGCCAAAAAATGTGGAAAAAAAACATCAGCAAAAGAGAACTACCTTCCTGAATCTCGTGCGACAGTTAAGTCAAAACTGCAAAAAAAAACTTTTTAAGTTTATGAATATTTTCGAAAATTTTCTGCCATATTAAAACAATACGCTATGCCATCAACTTGAATCAATTTCATGTGACATTGATCTAACCTATTACACATCAGACTAATTTAACCTGAAATTAATGCCAAGCGCTTTAAGAGCAAAAAACCAGAAACCATCTATCCGAAAAAGTGAAAAATTAGGGCAGCAAAACTTTTCAACAGAAAAATTCAAAAAAGAAATCGTTCTATTACCAAATAATTCGGCGGGTATATAAATTTAAATCAATGAAATATGTTTCAACACTTGAACCCTTCAAAAATTGATATGAAATCAGTAAAACTGACAAAAAATCAATTTATTTCTTAACATTTTTCCAACTGTACACATTACCACTTCAGAAGCTCTAGACCAGCTGTTAAACAACAGCTGTTCAACAAGCTAATTTGCTTTAAAAAATGGAGATTTCAAAATTGGCACAAAAGCGAACTTCGCAAACACTAACGAGAACACAAACAAAATCAGTTTTATAAAATGAAATAAGAAAAAGTAGAAACAAGCCACCATTAGTAAGACTTTGCAACGTATCGGATTCAAACCTGCAACCGCGTGATTTGGAATCTCTTGTCTTGCCCTCTCGGCCATGCCACGGACGCTTACTTATCGGCAAACACGAAGTCACGAATAAAGCAGCAACATATGCTAACACACTTGCCAATGCTATGCAGCAAAAGTGGCACCAAATACAAATAGACACAATTTCGCATGTAATAATTTGGAATATGACAAACTGAAAGCCTCCACAATAACTTTGCATGTAATAAATTGGAAAGCAGAGAGCCAAATTATGTCTAAATTATGCATTTCAAAAAAATTGAGATATATTGATGTTGAAAAACTCTGAAATCAAGTTATTTTATTGTACTGTTGTTTGAAACAAACACCCTTTTTCGGTTCATTTGATGAAATAAAAAAAGTATCAACTGTGTTAAATTGTTCCTAATCGAATGTCAAAGCACATTCTATTAAAAAAATCGTATAGATGCCACCAAAAGTGGCACCAATGATTGCGACTTAGGTTGGAAAAAAATAGTCGTACTATTACTCTACTCCCGCAAAAGTTCGCAAGTGTAAAGATCCTGTGAACAAAGTTGTTTACGGTAAAAAGTCTATTTTACAATAACCGATTACAATACCCTTGCTAATCGCGAGGGTTATAAAAGGCACCTTATGTCTGGGCTCTTTTCCAGTCCATCCCC